CCAACTCTTCAAAGAAGTTCCATTCGTTTGCCATTTTCCTCACAACCAAATAGAAACATACACTTAACAGTGATAATCTTCCCCCACCGCACCAGCCATTCATGATCCCAGAAACAAAATGAGTTCTTCAACCAAAACAAACAAAACAAAACGAATTCCATTCATTTGCTCATACTAAGTTCTATTCTCAAACAACTTCCTACCTTCACGAGACACAATCCACGTAACCTATTCATCCAGCACTGAATAGATTCCGCTAGACAAAAATGACATTCTAGGAGAACTCACATCCAAATATTACACATCATCTGGTGGATTTTCAGAATTCATAAAAAAATATAACACTAACACACAGTAGGAGCAGGGCAGGGGAACCAATTCTGCAATTCTTACCCGGCGGAGCAGGACGGCAGGAGCGGGGGAGGACTGGGAACTGGGAACAGGGAACGGGAAGGGCTGGCGAGTGGCGACGGGAAGGGCTGCCGATGGGACTGGGTACGCGTCGCGCGTCGGCGAGGGGAGGGAAGGGAGAGACCCGACGAGGGAAGCGCGCGAGTTAGAGTTGCCCGTCACCGTCGCTCCATGGTCGTCGTTGTCGAGAAGAGGAGAGCTGGAGAGGTCAGGCTGCGCGGCGGGTCTGGAAAAAACGAAGAGGAGAGGGCTCGGGTCGGTCGTGGTCGCTGGAAAAAACGAAGAGGAGAGTGTTTTTAGGGTTTGGACTTTGGCCCCAACAAAACGCAGCGCAACAGTTAGGGAGTGGGGAGGGGGATTCGGTATCGGTAATACCGATTTACCGTCTGTATTTACCGATATCGTGTCGGGTAACCGACTCCCCCAACTTCCCGCTCGGCTACCGATACCGCCGGTAAACAGTTTACCGTTTACCGCCGGTTACTGGTTTGGTAAAACGGTAAACCGCTTACCAGATTACCGAATCCCACCCCTAGTCCTAGCACATAAAGTGAAGCGTAGGCGCAAATTTCAAGTCAATTGGAGATCAATTGGCAACTCGGGGGAAGAAACTCGGGTATGACTTGAAGAAGAATATATTTATACCTCAGTTTGTGACCATGTAATCATTTAAGATTGTCATGATAAGAAATAGGACAAGACTACGAGCGTCTGGGATCAAACGGAACCTGATTTGGAGTCCGAACGAGGGAGAAACGAAGAATCAAAGATAGGGGACACGGAACTGCAAAATACCCGACCAAAATGCCCGACCGGGTATTTTGACCATCTGATAGGGGATTTTTGAGAACATCAAAAGTCCCCCCGGTCTTGAACCAAAAATACAAGGTCAGGTACCCAAAATATCCGACCGGGTCGCGAACGCAGGCTGTTAAAAGCCTGTTTTTTGCGTTTTTTGAGAGGGAGAGCTGGGTTTGGATCCCAAACACCCACTGGACAAACCAAAGAGAGAGAGGGCGATTTGAGGGCATTCTTGGAGTGAAATTGGAGGATTTCTTCGCCTTGGAATCTCGAGGAACAAGCTCGGACTTGAAGACTGATCATCTAAATATTCTTACTGCAGACTCTCTCTTCTCTATGGAGTAACTTCCCTTCACTTAGGTTTTGAGGAATCCTAGCTATGTTTGTTTGATTGGATGATTGTATAAGTACTCTTACTTGATAATCTTGAGTTCATATTCAATCGGGTTAAAGACACATTTGGTCACTGAGATTACAAAATCGGGACATGTTTAGTCACTAGAAAAAGTTAATATCAAATTTGGTCACTACAATTACTAATACTGGACACATTTAGTCACTCGCCGTTAGTCTCCGTCCAACTCCGTTAATGAAGTCCGTTAAGTGCTGATGTGGCAAACAGAATTGCCTAATCAGCCGGATATAACCCAACAAAAATAAAACCCGACCCGCCACGTCATTATAACCCGCCACCTCATGAAACCAACCCATGACCCAACCCCACCCAACCCTTCTTCCTCCTTCCTCCCACCTCGGCACCTCCCACCTCCTTCTTTCCCCAAAACCACCGCCGCCGCCGCTCTCCTCCTTCCTCCCACCTCCTCCCGCAAACCTGTTCGACCAAACCCAGCAGACCAATCCTTCGCCATCACCAAATCTGTTCGTCTCCTCTGACAATGGTTTTAATCTAATTCCTCATACTGGTAAAAGGGTAATCGTCAAAATTCCTCTTGCTGAAGTCCGGCCGAACCCAATTTAGGGTTTTCCCCATCCCATCCAAATTCGCTGGGCGGGGAGAAGACAGGCTGCCAATCGGGGCACGTTCGGATTTTTTTCCAGGTAATGCAACTTTTCGATGAATCGCTCTCAACAAGTTTCAGTCTTGATTCCGTTTTCTATTCTGAGAGGGGATTAGAAGACAGACGAACAAACCTCTTCATAAGGCAATGCAGCGGTGGATAAATATTTCAGGGAAACCCCAAAATCCAGCCGCCCTAAAACGAAAAGCCCAACTCCGAAGAGCCCCAAACCAACTGCTATCCTTCTATTCAGATTCCTAGTCGGGAATTCGGGGAGACCAGCAGAATCGGAAGACGAACTCGTCGCCTCGCCGGCGTCGTTCGTCACTGAATCAGCAGCCTGTTTTTCCTGCACTCGTTCAATGGAATGAGATCAGAACCTTAACTCAGGTGAAAGGAAACGAAGAAGCGCTTGGGAAATCGCAGCGGCGTACCTTAACGGTGGAGTTCTCAGTCGAGGAGTTGGATTTGGTTTGGCATGCTACGACCGGGAATTGCCACCGGGGTTTCCCATGGAAAGGGAACGTGGCTCTGGTAAACGGCACCGGCGGTGATTCGGCGGTGCGGAAATGCGGCCGGAATGTGCGGATGGAGTTCGACGAGGCTACATAGCCATTGCAGATAATATTCTCTGCCAAACAATCGCTAGTGAATTAAAGCATGATTTATAGGTTTGGTTGGGGATTGAGATTTCTGTTGTTGCTGGGTTTGGTCGAACAAGATTGCGCGAGGAGGTGGGAGGAGAGAGGAGAGCAGCGGCGGCGGTGGTTTTGGGGAAAGAAGGAGGTGGGAGGTGCCGAGGTGGGAGGAAGGAGGAAGAATGGTTGGGTGGGGTTGGGTCATGGGTTGGTTTCATGAGGTGGCGGGTTATAATGACGTGGCGGGTCGGGTTTTATTTTTTTTTGGGTTATATCCGGCTGATTAGGCAATTCTGTTTGCCACATCAGCATTTAACGGACTTCATTAACGGAGTTGGACGGAGACTAACGGCGAGTGACTAAATGTGTCCAGTTTTAGTAATTGTAGTGACCAAATTTGATATTAACTTTTTTTAGTGACTAAACATGTCCCAATTTTGTAATCTCAGTGACCAAATGTGTCTTTAACCCATATTCAATCTATGCATGTTTTCATGATTCAATTCTGCTTTAGTCGAGATTATTGATTCTGCTTTGATCCTATCAGAGTGAATACCTGATTAGGTCAATAGAGCACCATAGATTGATAGTATTGGATCGATTGCTTTAGTCGAGGCTCGATTCACTGCTTTGTATTGATTGAGAACCTCATTCGATAGAGGGAGTCTAGCAGAATGTCTTGATCGGTTGTTCTAGAGAAGGATACGTCCCTCTAGGCAATTGACTCAAGAGGGCCTTGTTCCTTTAGTCGAGACTCAAGGTCTAGTTAAGGATTCTTCGCATTGTGAATGAAAGTGAAACAGGTTAGAGATCATCAATCATTAATCTGGCTAGTGGCTAGGGGGAATCATACCTAAGTGAGTTCCCAACATGTAATTAGATTAACTTTAACTGTAGTGTGTTAGTGACTCACTCCGACTGTCACTCTAGAAAATGGCCAAGTGTAACCACCTCCTAATGCGTATTATAGCGGGTTTGGGTTTTAATGTCAACCCGGGTCCTAGATGTGATGACTACTCTATGAGTTCTTATTATCTAGCAGTGAACTTTTAGTGAAGGTCCAAACAAGAAAAACAAGTAAAAAGGTTGTTTCCAAGCCGAGAGAGGTCACCCGGATATGGTTCCCCCTAGACTGCAGTTAAGCCGTATTTTAATTTATCAAGTTTAGGTTCAATGATAGTTATACTGCGGGAGGTTCTTAAACAGTCTGAAGTCTCGACTAAAGGTCTCCAGACCCTCTCAATCTGAGTCTCCAACGGACGACTAACCTCCACCGGAGTAAACAGATTGAGGCCCTAACGAACCAAACCTCCACTACCGAAGTAAATTCGGTACGGAATAGTGAATTGACTTCTCGACTAAAGTCGCCAATTCACTACCTTCAATCAAGGGTGCTCTATCAACCTAGGCATATATTCTCTTTCTAGGTTAAAGCAAAAACAATAGGAATTTGATCAGGATTCATGCCATTCAACAAATCAAACCTCAATTAAACATAATCATATCAATGAATCTGTACTTGGGTTCATACAATCAGACCTAACATACAAAGGTGAAGAAGAAAGTTACTCCATAGAGAGAGATGGAAAATCTAGCTCAGATGCGGAAACCATACTGTGAAGGATGGGAATCTGCCTCTGGCACTCAATCAGGTCTTCTCCAAGATCAAGTTGGGCTCCAATGGTGATGGAGATTGATCTATGACACTTGCAGGATCAGTTTCGTCACTTTCTCTCTCTAGGTATCGCTCTCTCTCTAAAACTCTGAACCCACTCCTTTGGCTGGAAATTGGGTTAAAACCCATAAATTCCCGACTCACACGGCCAGGCCACATGGCCGTGTGACTTTCCCAGTTGCCTGTGTGGCTTTGCAAAACGCGGCGTTTCGTTAAGTGACTTCAGGCTTCCTACACGGCCAGACCCACACGGCCGTGTGGATTTCCAGGTTGCCCGTGTGAGTTCCCTGGAATTTCCACACAGCCACAAGGGTCCCCTACACGGCCCCTGTGATTTTGCCCGTGCAATTTGGTGCCACACGGCCAGGTCACACGGCCGTGTAGGTTTTTAGGCGTGCCCGTATGGCTCCATCATCTTCTCGCCAAATGTCCAATCTTCGTCCAATCGATCCCGAACTCGTTCCCAAGCCTTCATTCACGTACTAGGGCCTGAAATATCACAAACAAGAACAACCTAGAGTGAAATTGGCCTAAAACGCGAGAATCGACATCTCAAACGGCTCAAGAATAGGGGTAAAAACATGTGTAATCAATGGTCTATCAAACTCCCCCACACATAACCGTTTGCTTGTCCCGAAGCAAACCTAACTCAAACCAATGCAACTCTCCAGACCTCTATAGCAACAAACAACCCTGATCGTCGGTAGAAGATTTCCTAGATCATATAGCAGCTTACGAGGTCAACTCGTCTTCTAAGACGTTCCCTATCTCTCTCAATGCGAGTACTAGACTCAAACCAGGATCATGAGAAGAAGTGGAAGTAAGACAGTCATTTCATGGATAAAGGGACTCACACTATTCAAAACCAAGGACTCGTGGTACCGGGGTGCTCTTTCACTTCATTTCACCTTTGGAACCCCTTTTTTACTTTCATTTTACTTTTTTTTTTCATTCACTTGGCGGGGGTTCCAACTGCAGTATTTTGCACGGTCGACCCTTATTAGTCGAGCAAGAGTAATTTATGTACATCTGGCGCTCGCCAGAGTACTTCTTTTAACTCCTTTTCCTCAACTCGTGTGGAGGGTCAATGAAATTAAGGGGGGTCGGAAGCTCTATCCGTGCCCTTTTAAACACATCCTCAAGTAGGCAAACCGTTCAACGGGTGGAAGTTTTACTTGTACTAGAGACAGCTTAGCTTCACCTTGTAGGAGTACCCTACTAAGGATCACTAAAATCTCTTCCAAAACCTGATTTTGTGCAATGAACGGTGCCGCACACGTTGGGCGTACCCCATGTTTAAGATTTAATGATTTTGACATGGAGGACCAACTGCATTTCATTTTTCACATGAGCACCCTGTTCGATACACGAGTCCATAACACAATCCAAATAGATTCACCATTATCACATGAATTCAATGGTCCTAGCTCCACTAATTCACAAAATCAACTGGCACAGCAGAGAGGTAGATAGGAAAAATCGTATACTTCAACATCCTCCATAGTGCTACACTACCTCCCTAGGTTGCACATTACTATAGAGACTGTCAATTCAAAGCATACTGAGCAGACAATTTGCAAGGAAACACGTACTTTGAGCCCTCAAATTTAAAAATATTGACAGTGGACTAGGCTCCAAGCTCACAAACAAATCTAATTCAGTCAAAAGAGAAACACCCCCCCCCCCCCACACACACACTTAAGTTCGACATTGACCTCAATGGAGAAGAGGGAAGGATAAGGGGAACGATGTTACCGATGTGCATGGACTGCATGAGACTGGAAGCGGACCAGTCTGAGTGAAGCGGACTGGAGAGGGGACCAGTTAGGGACAAAGCACGGCTAGAGGGAACAGAAGAACTCAAACACTATACGTTAGGTCCAATGGTCATCCCAATAGTACATCATCCAAAATAAAAAGAAAACAACCCAAAACCAAACCAGTTTACAATCCGACCCAAAACAAAAAGAAATAAATGAAAACCGTGGTGGGGTTGACTCCCCACAAGCGCTTCTTTACCGTCTTTTAGCTGGAAGCCCATGGTGGAACTAAGGGTCCGCGAGTTCCACTACCAACTCTGCACGCTCGACCTCGTCTCCTAAGTAGAGCTTGAGACGATGGCCATTCACTTTAAACGGTTCAGTCTGCGGGTTGGCAATTTCAATCGTGCCATACGGGAACACCTGTATGACCGTGAACGGTCCAGACCACCGGGAATGGAGTTTTCCGGGAAAGAGCTTCAGGCAAGAGTTATAAAGGAGAACTCGATCACCAACCTGGAACTCTTTCGGACCCCGTAACCGTGCATTGTGCAGGCGCTTAGTGTGCTCCTTGTACAACTTTGTGTTCTCATAGGCGTGATAACGCCATTCCTCAAGCTCCAGCATCTGCATTTTGCGCTCAACACCTGCAACACTAACATCCAAGTTGAGCAGCTTAAGGGCCCAAAAGGCCTTGTGCTCTAGCTCCATGGGCAAATGGCATGCCTTTCCATAGACAAGCCGGTACGGTGAAGTACCAATGGGTGTCTTGTAGGCAGTGCGGTATGCAAAAAGAGAATCATCGAGCTTGGTGGACCAATCCTTGCGGGACTGATCCATCGTCTTTTCCAGGATACGCTTGAGCTCCCGGTTCGTCAGCTCGGCCTGGCCACTTGTTTGAGGGTGATAGGCCACGGACACCTTATGAGTCACACCATAGCGAGACAGTAACTTATCAAACTGGCCCTGGAAATGGGTGCCTCGATCGCTTATGATGGCTCTAGGTGTCCCGAACCGGGAGAATAGCTGCTTCAGAAAACCACAAACATGTCTAGCATCATTAGTGGGCAAAGCTTGCGATTCAGCCCACCTAGAGATGAAGTCAACAGCAACCAGGATATAGGTATTGCCAAAGGATGGAGGGAAGGGGCCCATGAGGTCGATACCCCAGACATCAAAAATCTCACAAGTTATAAACACATTCTGGGGCATCTCATCACGGGTAGAGATGTTACCTGACCTCTGGCATCGGTCGCACCTGCGTGCAAAGGTGTCTTCATCCTTAAGAGCGTGGGCCAGTAAAAGCCCGACTGTAGCACCTTCCTCGCCGTGCGGTTTCCTCCGTGGTGACCGCCAGTAGGTCCTTCATGACAGTGAGATAGAATGCCCTCCATCTCACTCTCCATAACACAGCGACGGATGATCCCGTCGGCTTCGATCCTGAAGAGATGAGGGTCATCCCAGAAGTAGTGCTTCAGGTCGGAGAAAAATTTCCTCTAGGTGTGAGTTGTCATCCCCATGGGCATCCGCTGGCCCACCAGATAGTTCGCAAAATCGGAGTACCACGGTCAAAGATGGCGAGCATGCATCGCTAAAAAGTGGTCAGGGCATTGCACAGCCCGAATGGGATCCTTGATGACTCGGTATTTGCACATGTTTTCCCCTTTGTTTCTTGATTGTTTGAGCTTGAATTATTGCGTCTTTGGCCTATTTTATGCTAGGTTGTGTTCCTTTGTCCCATTTCAGGTCCTAGCACATAAAGTGAAGCATAGGCGCAAGTTTCAAGTCAATCAGAGATCAATTGACGATTCGAGAGAAGAAACTCGGGCATGACCTGAAGAAGAATGGATTTCTACCTCACTTTATGGACAAAGAATCATGCAAGCTTGTTATGAAACGAAAGAGGACGAGACTACGAGCGTCTGGGATCAAACGGCGATTGATTCGGAGTCCGGACGAGGGAGAAACGAAGCATTAAACAGAGGCTGAGCAAGCTGCACGGGCAGACCAGCGTGGCCACGCACGGCCGTGCAAGTGACCATTTTGGCCGTGCGGGATTGTGCGTGGGCACGCACGGGCACAAGTGAAATCCGCACGGCCGTGCAACATACAATTCTGGCCGTGCGAGTTGGCTGAGGTTCAACTAATTGATACGCCGCGTTTTGAGGTGCACGGCCAGAATGGTGATATGCACGGCCGTGCACCCTGGCCGTGCGAGTCGGGATTTCCTGGTTTTAAGCCAAATTCCGAACCAAAGAAGTGGGATTCGAGTTTTTGAGAGAGAGATCAGTTCCTAGAGAGAGAAAGTGACGAGCAAGAGTTCCCAAGTGCCCTAGATTGATCTTCAACACCATTGGAGGCCAGCTTGAGCTTGGAGAAGTGCTAATCAACGTCCAGAAGCAGGAATCCATCCTTCGCAGTATGAATTCCGTGTCTGATTCTGCTTTTGCTTTCTTCTCTATGGAGTAGTTCTCCCATTCATCTGGGTATGGAGAACCCTAGATTTGTATGTTAGGCTTTGATTGTATGAACCCAAGTACTGATTCTGTGATTGATTATATTCGATTGAGGTTTTGATGATTGAATGACTTGAATCCTGATCAAATTCCTGTTGTTTCTGCTTTAACCTAGAATGAGAATATCTGCCTAGGTTAATAGAGTATCCTTGATTGAAGGTAGGGAGTTGGTGACTTTAGTCGAGGAGCCAACTCACTATTCTGTACCGGATTTACTCCGGTAGTGGAGGTTTTGTTCTTAGGGCCTCAATCTGTCGACTCCGGTGGAGGTTAGTCGCCCGCTAGAGAGTCAGATTGAGAGGGTCTGAAGACCTTTAGTCGAGACTTCAGGCTGTTTAAGAACCTTCCGCAGTATAACTGTCATAGAAACTGAACTTGGTAATTACAATCCGGCTTAACTGCAGTCTAGGGGGAACCATATCCGGGTGACCTCTTTAACCTGAATACAACCAGTTTACTTGCTTTGTTAGTTTGTTAGTTAGACTTGCATTCCAGTTTCATTGCTAGATAACAAGAATTCACTGAGTAGTCATCAAATCTAGGACCCGGGTTGACATATAAACCTAACCCGCTATACTACGCTTTAGGAAGTGGTTTCACTTGGCCAATTCCTGGAGTGACAGTAGAGAGCAGTCAAGTTTTTGGCGCCGTTGCCGGGGACGGCTAGGTTGTTGAAGAAAAGTGATTTCTGTTAATTTAGCTTTTCTTTTTACTTTGTTTACTTTGTCCCACTTGTGCCTTCACGGGTTTGTTGCTTGAGTGTGTGCAGGTAGTGCATGACCCGTAGCCAGTCGGGTGGTTTACTGCCGTTGAATCCAGAGATTGACCGCACCTGTCGCCAGCTCAGGAGACAACAGCGAGCTAGACTGGCTACGGAAGAGCGCATAGACGGCCACCTGAGCAGCGATTCTGAAGAAGAGCACGGGATGGACGGAGACTACAACCAACACCAGGGGAATCCACAGCAGGTTCCCCCGGTGAATCAGGTCCTGGGGAACAACCCCATACCCCAGGACCATGGAGTTCATCATCCACCGCAGCCGGGTCCCACCTTGGAGTACTACTACACTCCGCGGATTGCTGATATCCGCCCGGTCATCCTCTACCCGCCGATCCCAGCAAACAACTTCGAGATCAAGCCATGCTGGATTCAGCTCATCACATCCTCGATCCAGTTTCATGGCTTGAAGGATGAGGAGGCCAGGGTACATCTGTCCCGTTTTCTGCAGCTGACAAACGGGTTCAAGCTGAACGGTGTTCCCGATGATGCGATCCGCCTTCATCTCTTCCCCCATTCTCTGGCGGGAAATGCTAAGAGGTGGTTGGAGACCCAGCCCCCATTGTCCATCACCTCTTGGGACGATCTGGCGGACAAGTTCGTGCACAGGTACTATCCGGCATCGAAGACTACAGAGATTCAGCGGGAGATCACTCACTTCCGCCAGGAGCCAGATGAGTCACTCCGTGATGCTTGGGAGCGGTACATGGGCTACTTCTGGCAGTGCCCCCACCATGGCTTTAGTGATGCTTTCACTGTGGGGAACTTCTACAGTGCCCTTTCGCCAGATAGCCAGAGGGTGATTGAGTCTCTATGCCCAGGAGGGGATATTCTTACCAAGACTCCACCCGAGCTGAACCAGATGATCAGTACTTTGGCTGCCAGAGATCATTCTTGGGGACAGGGTAGCCGAGGCAGACAGTCCCGGGACCGTGGTGTGCACGCCATGGAGACCAGATCCGGGCTCGAGCAGCAGGTAGCTGAGCTAGTGCAGACATTGAAGCAGCCCAACAGTCTGATTCCGGGCAGAGGTTTGGCTACACCTCCAGTAGCTCAATGTCAGTGGTGTGAGAGCTCCAGTCACCTGGTGGAGGACTGCCAGGCTATGAGGGAGTCTACCACACCCCAGGAGTAGAAGACTCTCGCATAGCCTAGAAGTCTTCCACCAGATGATTTGAGCTCTCACACCACTAACATTGAGCTACTGGAAGTGTAGCCAAACCTCTGCCCGGAATAAGACTGTTGGGTTGCTTCAATGTCTGCACTAACTCGGCCACCTGCTGCTCGAGCCCGGACCTGGCCTCCATGGCGTGCAAACCACGATCCCTAGAATTTTTGCCTCTGGTGCTCTGCCCCTAGGAGTGATCTCTGGCAGCCAAGGTACTGATCATCTGGTTCAGTTCGGGTGGAGTCTTAGTAAGAATATCCCCTCCTGGGCATAGAGACTCAATCACCCTCTGTTGTCCAGATAGAGAGCACTGTAGAAGTTCCCCACGGTGAATGCATCACTGAAGCCATGATGGGGACACTGCCAGAAATACCCAGATTACCGCTCCCATGCATCACGAAGTGACTCGTCTGGCTCTTGGCGGAAGTGAGTGATCTCTCGCTAGATCTCTGTGGTCTTCGATGCTGGATAGTACCTGTGCACGGACTTGTCAGCCAGATCGTCCCAAGAAGTGATGGACAATGGGGGCTGGGTCTCCAACCACCTTTTAGCATGCCCCGCCAGAGAATGGGGGAAGAGGTGAAGGCGGATTGCGTCATCAGGGACATCGTTTAGCTTGAACCCGTTCGTCAGCTATAGAAAACGGGAAAGGTGCACCCTTGCCTCCTCGTCCTTCAAGCCATGAAACTGGATAGAGGATGTAATGAGTTGAATCCATCATGGCTTGATCTCGAAGTTGTCAACTGGAATGGGCGGGTAGAGGATGACAGGGCGGATATCAGCCACCCGTAGAGTGTAGTAGTACTCCAAGGTGGGACCCGGCGGTGGTGGTTGATGATGAACCCCATCTGCCTGGGGTACTGGGTTGTCCCAGGATCTGGTTCACTGGGGGAAGCTGGAGAGGTAGCCCCTGTGGCGGGTTATGGTCTCCTTCCATCGCGTACTCTTCCTCGGAATCGCTGCTCAAGTGGCCGTCTATGCGCTCCTTTGTAGCCAGTCTAGCTCGTTGTTGTCTCCTAAGTTGGCGACAGGTGCGTTCAAGCTCCGGATCCAACGGCAGTAAACCTCCTGACTGGCTGTAACACCCTACCCTATACGTTCTGCCTAATCATATTGTTCATACAATTGCAGCGGAATTAATCTCGGGTGTTACATTAATTATCAAAATTTACCCAAATAAAATTTCGACATGAATTACTCGCGTAATGGGCTAACAGTTCTTGCAACTTATTCTGCAAAATAATTCATCACAAACATATATACTCACAACCATATGCATTGGCTTTTCTTAGCCATAGTCACAACTTACACAGTTACACAACATATACACATATCATCAACTTTTCACACTTGTGGATATCTCACACTACATCAGAAGCTAGTATGCACATGAAAAACGTTCTCAAAACATTTTTACAAAAAGGTGTGGATCACTGGCCAAAATCCCGAGTAGTAGTCCAAGCACAGAATGGTTGAAGACCATACCTCATCTTGCCTTCAACTCTTGCTCAGCTCCCACCTATACACCTATCTACTGCTGATGATGATGATCTGCTTACACATAGCATAAGCAGAGAAAAAGGATAAAGAGGGTCAGCTCATAGCTGAGTGAGATAATCATAGCATCATGAGTTCATAACAGAGCATACCCCTACCATACATCTAGCAAACAAGCCAAAGCACTGGGATCATATCTGAGCCCTCCGACATCCCAATAGGCAAAAGACTCAACCACCTTGACTTATGCATATGCATCTTATCATGTTTTACTCATAGGCGCCTGGCTACTCCCATGCTAATAACTCTCCCGAGAAACATACCCCACATCCCGTCGGATGTAGTCATACATACTCCAACATACCGTCGGATGTGGTCATACATACCCCACACCACTATGGGTGTAGTCATACCCCGACACCGCTCTGGGTGTGGTCATATCTCGTAAGAATTCTTTAGTCACCACCACATGAGAGGTGTGACTATCATACATATCATAATAGCGTAATAGCAAAGGGAGCCCTAATTACTATGTAGTTGACCGTGAGACCACAACACTCATATTTGGTATCCTTGTACATGATTCATATCTCATCTTGCTTAATCATAATTCATTACTTGCACATGTACTTGACCTGGCCAGAATTGACTCAACATAGGTAAATCAGGAGTCGTATAATTGCACTTCCTCGGGATAAACCCTCGTGCCAGTCATCCTCCATAAACGTCATCATATCACTAGGGAATATATATTTTCCCACATGTGCATCCAAATACAACAATCATGAAAAATCATACCCAATCATCTTTTCAAACCATCATAAGGCATATCAACAGTCAAGCCCACAATTTGCAACATATACGAAATCATCAGCATAAACAAGGTCCATCTCCATTAGGGCAAGTCAATAATATCATACAGTAGTCCATGGTTCATCACATAGCACAAAAGTTCATACACCCTTAATCATACCATTCTAGTTCACCTAGGTCAATTCTAAGCATCAATATAATTTTCGTGATACGACAAACCTTGTATGTCGTGCTAATCCCTCACCAGTTCTGGTTGTTCAAACACCGGTTCTAGCCTCCCGTACTAAAACGTCAATTTCACGAACGAACCCCGAATTAAAATCCGAGACCTTCCTAATATCCCCTGCAGTATCCCCGTCAATATTAGTTCTAGGCTCCGGGTCAAATTCTTGATAAAAACACATCAAACCCTGGCCGGAGCTAAATTCAGCGATTTGGACCCCAACCTAAATAATTGCAGAAATTCAGGGATTAGAACTAGAGAATTGATTACCTCACTGAAGGAAGCTCGTATATGAAATTTGGGCTCAATCCGGCTTCCGGATACTCTGAAACCCTAATTTGGCTTATCGGGAATTCAAGAAATTCCTGAACCAAAAACTCGTTTTAAAGCTCTAAATCGATAAATCACGATGTATAGATGAATTAGGCATTACTTATGGGATTTTTGGATTTCTAAAACTCAAGAATTGAGCTCGGAGAATTCTTGGCCGAGCGCTCTGTTTGCTCTGTTTCTCTGGTGCAGTTTGGAAATGGGACGGGGAAAGTGAAATGGGAAGGGAAAGTGATGGACGGGTAATATATATGCCGACACGTATACTTATCTGATCGATCGATAATCCGATTTTCGCCGAAATTCTATCAAAACGCTCGATTTTAAATCGTAAACTTTCTAGCGATCGAAATATGGGTTTTGCCGAAATGGGATGTTACAATTCTCCCCTCCTTAAAAGATTTCGTCCCCAAAATCTATTCTTGAGTTGTACCCTAAGTCCACTTACTTAGCCTTGCCATGATCTATGATACATAAAGCCATTACCTAACTCTCAGGTTGGGTGATTCACAACATAGAAAGTAACACATAACAGCTCAAGTTCCCATGTTTAGGTTTCAAAAACCTATACGGGGCTATCACAACAAAAGCACATCAACAAGTTCAAAACATAAATTACTAAGCAAGATTGTTAACCTGCAAAGTATGTCGCTACCAACTCAGGGTACTTCTCTCGCATACTTGCTTCAGTCTCCCAGGTAGCACTCTCACTTTCTTGATTCCTCCACACAACCTTTAACATTGGAATTTCCTTCCTACGAAGAGTCTTAATCTGAAAATCAACAATCTCAACTGGAACATCTTCAAAAGTCAAATCTGGACCCAACTCGATCTCCTCTGGTTGTATAACATGGGAAGGATCCACTTTGTACCTCTTCAGCATACTAACATGAAATACATTGTGGATTTGGGATAGCTCTGGAGGCAATGCTAGTTTATATGCCACTGGTCCAATCTTCTCTGTGATTTCATATGGCCCAATATATCGAGGTGCAAGCTTTCCTTTACCAAATCTCATCACCCCTTTCCATGGTGACACTTTGAGAAATACTTTCTCACCCACTTCGAAATTAACTTCACGCCTATTTGTGTCAACATAAACTTTCCTCCCATAAAGTGCTTCATATGGTGGAACACCCAAGCTCCTATGGTACTGGTTGTTGTAAGCAAACTCAATTAAGGTAAAATGGTCAATCCATGATTCCTCTCATTGCATTACACATGATCGAAGTAATTCCTCCAAAGTTAGAATGGTTCGTTCACTCTGCCCATCTGTTTGAGGATGATAAGCTGAAGTAAAATGCAGTTTAGTTCCCAAGGCATCATGTAAACTTTGCCAAAACCGAGATGTGAAGCTCGGGTCTCGATCAAAGACAATAGAAATCGGCACACCATGCAATCTGACGATCTCCTTAATATATAGTCGAGACAAAGTTTCCAGTGATGGTTTTCATCTAATGGGTAAAAAGTGAGCCGATTTGGTCAATCGGTCCACAATAACCCATACTGCATCTTTTCCCCTTGATGGGAGACCATATACAAAATCCATTGTGATTCTTTCCCACTTCCATTCTGGAATTGAAAGTGGTTGCAGTTTTCCCAGAGGAGCTTGATGTTCTGCCTTAACTTTCTGACATACCAGACATGTGAAAACATGTTCAGCCACTTCCTCTTTCATCCCACGCCACCAAAAATATGGTTTGATAGTGTGATACATTTTAGTTGCTCCTGGGTGCATAGCATAAGCAGAAGAATGAGCTTCATCGAGGATCTCTTTCCTCAAGTTATCAACATTAGGAACACATGCTCTTCCATTCATCTTCAACATGCCATCTACCATTTCAAATGGGCTTTCTTTGGCTTCCTCAATGTCTTGAATGATTTTTACCAACTCTGAGTCTTCCTTCTGCTTCTCACGAATTTTGTCGTGCAACAAAGGTCGAATGTTCAACCAAGCCAGTAACCCTGTTACACCATCCACTTCCAAATCAACATGCATTGCTCTCAAATCAACCAGATCCGTTATATTCTTCTTGCCTTTTCTGCTCAGAGCATCAGCAACTACATTAGCTTTACCTGGATGGTAATCAATGGTACAATCATAATCTTTCAACAACTCTATCCATCTCCTCTGTCGACTATTTAAATCCTTCTGATCCATAATATAATTCAAGCTTTTGTGATCAGTTAGGATTTTAAAAGTCTCACCATGCAAATAATGTCGCCAAATCTTGAGAGCAAATACCACCACTGCCAATTCTAAGTCATGAGTGGGATAATTTACTTCATGAGGACGCAATTGCCTAGAGGAATATGCAATAACTCTTCCATCTTGCATTAACACACAGCCCAATCCTTGATACGAGGCATCACTATACACCACAAACTCCCCCTGACTTGAAGGTAGTGCAAGTACTAGTGTTGTGGTCAATCTCTTCTTCAGTTCATCAAAACTCCTTTGACATGATTCATCCCAAACATATTTGGTATTCTTCCTCAACAGTTTAGTCAATGGTGCAGCAATTTTGGAAAATCCTTCGACAAACCGCCGATAATAACCAGCCATGCCAAGAAAACTTCTCAACTCAGACAAATCTTTTGGTGGAGCCCAACTCACCACTGCTTCCACCTTTTTCGGATCCACCTCGACACCTCTTCCAGAAATTACATGTCCCAGAAATATTACCTCCTTCAGCCAAAACTCACATTTGAGAATTTTGCATATAATTGCTTCTCCCTTAGAATTTGCAACACAATTCTAAGGTGAGTTTTGTGCTCCTCCTCGCTTTTAGAATAGATGAGAATATCATATGTGAACACAATCACAAACTTATCAAGATATTCATGGAAAACTCTGTTCATAAGAGCCATAAATACCGCTGGTGCATTAGTGAGACCAAAAGGCATTACCAGGAATTCATAATGCCCATATCTTGTTCTAAAAGCTGTCTTTGAGGTTGCTCCATCTGCCACTTTCAATTAATGGTATCCAGACCTCAAATCAATCTTAGAAAAGACCGATGCACCCTGCAATTGATCAAACAAGTCATCTATTCTTGGGAGGGGATAACGATTTTTCACTGTTGCTTTATTCAACCTCCAGTATTCAATGCACATTCTAATGGAGCCATCTTTCTTCTTGACAAACAAAACCGGTGCACCCCAAGGTGAGATGCTAGGTCAAATAAACCCCTTGTCTAGCAATTCTTGCAATTGTTCTTTAAGCTCCTTCAGCTCAATTGGTGCCGTTCTATATGGTGCCATTGAAATTGGTGTTGTGCCAGGTACCAATTCAATATCAAACTCTACTTCCCTTTCTGGTGGAAGGCTCGGAAGTTCTTCGGGGAATACATCAGGAAACTCCCTTACCACCTCTACATCCTCAACCCTCTTATCATTTACAACAGTAACTTGAGCAAGAAAGGCTTCACAACCTTCCTTCACTAATTGAAAAGCTTCCAAGGAAGAAAGAAAAACATGAGTCTCCTTTTTCTTAACGGGACCTTTATCTGGTGTGTTGAATAACACTTGTTTCTTTTGACAATCCAAAACAGCTCCATGTGTTGCCAGAAAGTCCATTCCAAGGATGACATCAAATTCATCAAAAGGTAGCATAATTAAATCTGCTGCTAGGAAAGCTCCTTCCACACAAATGAAGGAACTTCTAATAACTGAGTCTACCTTCAAGGTATCTCCCACAGGTGTTTTAACACATAAGGTATAACCTAGCTTATCTGGAACTAAGCGTAGCATATGTGCAAACGTATATGACATGAATGAGTGAGAGGAACCAGTATCGATCAAAGCATATAATTGCTTGCCAAGTATAGAAAGCATACCAGTCACAACTTCTGGTGCCACTTCTGCCTCACCTTGATTCATTGCATAAACCCTCGGTGCTCCCTGTGCTCTGGTACCCTGCGTACCACTTCCTGATGGCTTATTTCGACCACCACCTCTACCACCCTGTGAACCACCACGACCACTCTGAAATCCACTACGGCCTCCCTGGTAACCACCCCTGAATGGGGCTCTACTAATTTGCACTGAAGGCTCGGACTGTGTAGCTCTTACTTCTCTCAAATGCGGACAGTCCCTCATGATGTGCCCAGGTTGGCTACAGTGAAAGCATACACCAGAAAATCTCCTACATTCTCCAAGATGCCTCTTCTGACAAACTTGACACAATGGAAATTGTGTGGCTGAGGAAATTGGTGCCCTGTATGATGTTCCCGACATAGATTGACTCGGTGTTCTCCCAAAACTGCTAGGACCTCTCCTGGGTGGGTAACGAGGTCCAGCATAATTTACTCCAAACTTCCTCTTCTTCTCCTCTTCTTTGGCTTTGTGTTCCTCTCGGCTCTCAACTTCATAGGCTTCATACTTAAGTGTTGCCTCCTTGATTGTGGCCATGCTCTCTTCATCAACCCTGTGGATCTTTTCTTTCAATCCTATGCGCAGACCATGCAAGTATCTCATCTTCTTCTTATGCTCAGTATCCGCCAACCCATCTTCAAAGTAGAGTAGTCGAACAAACTTGATGGTGTACTCAGTAACTGTCATATTCTCCTGCTTAAGGTTGGCGAATTCATTATTCTTTGCCCTGATAAAAGCTTCGGGAAGAAACTCTGTCTTAAAGGCCTTTAGGAACTCCTCCCAAGTGAACTGAACTCGTTCACCATTAACTCTAGAGACTGAGGACCACCAGCTCCTCGCGTACCCCTTTAGGAGAAAAACAACATATTGCACTTTTTTCTCTGGGGTTGCATAAAGATACTCAAACACATCTTCCATCTCTCTCAACCACTCTACTACAGCATCTGGGCTCACATCTCCCTTGAAGTCCCTACCACCCAAACTCTTCATCTTTGCATAGTCTAATACTGGCGGCCTTGCATCAACCGCCCCCACTCCTCTCGACTGGTCAGTAGGAACATTATGACAACTTCCGTGCGAGCTAAAAGGAAATATTGGCCTTAGATTGATCCACACAAAATTCATTCTTCACCAAATCTCTCACTTGGTTAAAACAAAAAAATTCCCAAAATAATTACTTGAAAACAATTAAGTTCAAAACTCAATTTTGACAACCATGATGCAAGTAATTTCATCCAATATACCAATACACATAATCATGTCAAACTCAATTCCCAGTTTAAGTAATTATGGGGTACTCCCCTCCTTATGAGTGTTTAACCTCCCATAGGGTATAGTACTCCATAACAGCAAAAAGAGGGAACCAGGCTCTGATACCAAACTGTAACACCCTACCCTATACGTTCTGCCTAATCATATTGTTCATACAATTGCAACGTAATTAATCTCGGGTGATAAATTAATTATCAAAATTTACCCAAATAAAATTTCGACATGAATTACTCGTGTAATGGGCTAACAGTTCTTGCAACTTATCCTGCAAAATAATTCATCACAAACATATATACTCACAACCATATGCATTGGCTTTTCTTAGCCATAGTCACACTTTTCATACTCCAGAACTGCATACCATACCTATACATACCATAGTCGTCACAACTTACACAGTTACACAACATATACACATATCATCAACTTTTCACACTTGTGGATATCTCACACTACATCAGAAGCTAGTATGCACATGAAAAACGTTCTCAAAACATTTTTACAAAAAGGTGTGTATCACTGGCCAAAATCCCGAGTAGTAGTCCAAACACAGAATGGTTGAAGACCATACCTCATCTTGCCTTCAACTCTTGCTCAGCTCCCACCTATACACCTATCTACTATTGTTGATGATGATCTGTTTACACAGCATAAGCAGAGAAAAGGATAAAGAGGGTCAGCTCATAGCTGAGTGAGATAATCATAGCATCGTGAGTTCATAACAGAGCATACCCCTACCATACATCTAGCAAACAAGCCAAAGCACTGGGATCAGATCTGAGCCCTCTGACATCCCAATAGGCAAAAGACTCAACCACCTTGACTTATGCATATGCATCTTATCATGTTTTACTCATAGACGTCTGGCTACTCCCATGCTAATAACTCTTCCGGGAAATATACCCCACATCCCGTCGGATGTAGTCATACATACTCCAACATCCTGTCGGATGTGGTCATACATACCCCACACCACTATGGGTGTAGTCATACCCCGACACCGCTCTGGGTGTGGTCATATCTCGTAAGAATTCTTTAGTCACCACCACATGAGAGGTGTGACTATCATACATATCATAATAGCGTAATAGCAAAGGGAGCCCTAATTACTATGTAGTTGACCGTGAGACCACAACACTCATATTTGGTATCCTTGTACATGATTCATATCTCATCTTGCTTAATCATAATTCATTACTTGCACATGTACTTGACCTGGCCAGAATTGACTCAACATAGGTAAATCAGGAGTCGTATAATTGCACTTCCTCGGGATAAACCCTCGTGCCAGTCATCCTCCATAAACGTCATCATATCACTAGGGAATATATATTTTCCCACATGTGCATCCAAATACAACAATCATGAAAAATCATACCCAATCATCTTTTCAAACCATCATAAGGCATATCAACAGTCAAGCCCACAATTTGCAACATATACGAAATCATCAGCATAAACAAGGTCCATCTCCATTAGGGCAAGTCAATAATATCATACAGTAGTCCATGGTTCATCACATAGCACAAAAGTTCATACACCCTTAATCATACCATTCTAGTTCACCTAGGTCAATTCTAAGCATCAATATAATTTTCGTGATACGACAAACCTTGTATGTCGTGCTAATCCCTCACCAGTTCTGGTTGTTCAAACACCGGTTCTAGCCTCCCGTACTAAAACGTCAATTTCACGAACGAACCCCGAATTAAAATCCGAGACCTTCCTAATATCCCCTGCAGTATCCCCGTCAATATTAGTTCTAGGCTCCGGGTCAAATTCTTGATAAAAACACATCAAACCCTGGCCGGAGCTAAATTCAGCGATTTGGACCCCAACCTAAATAATTGCAGAAATTCAGGGATTAGAACTAGAGAATTGATTACCTCACTGAAGGAAGCTCGTATATGAAATTTGGGCTCAATCCGGCTTCCGGATACTCTGAAACCCTAATTTGGCTTATCGGGAATTCAAGAAATTCCTGAACCAAAAACTCGTTTTAAAGCTCTAAATCGATAAATCACGATGTATAGATGAATTAGGCATTACTTATGGATTTTTGGATTGCTAAAACTCAAAAATTGAGCTCGGAGAATTCTTGGCCGAGCGCTCTGTTTGCTCTGTTTCTCTGGTGCATTTAGGAAATGGGACGGGGAAAGTGAAATGGGAAGGGAAAGTGATGGACGGGTAATATATATGTCGACCGTATATATATATATAATATATATATATATATAATTAATACGTATATTTATCCGATCGATCGATAATCCGATTTTCGCCGAAATACTATCAAAACGCTCGATTTTAAATCGCAAACTTTCTAGCGATCGAAATATGGGTTTTTCCCAAATGGGATGTTACACTGGCTACAGGTCATGCACTACCTGCACACAATCAAGCAGCAAACCCGTGAAGGCACAAGTGTGACAAAGCAAACAATGCAAAAAAGAAAAGCTAAACTAACAGAATTCACGTTTCTTCAACAACCTAGCCGTCCCCGGCAACGGCGCCAAAAATTTGACTCGCTTCGACTTTCACTCTAGAAAATGGCCAAGTGTAACCACCTCCTAAAGCGTAGTATAGCGGGTTTGGGTTTTAATGTCAACTCGAGTCCTAGATGTGATGACTACTCCGTGAGTTCTTATTATCTAGCAGTGAACTTTTAGTGAAGGTCCAAACAAGCAAACAAGCAAAGCAAGTAAAAAGGTTGTTTCCAAGTTGAGAGAGGTCACCCGGATATGGTTCCCCCTAGACTGCAATTAAGCCGAATTATAATTTATCATGTTCAAGTTCAATGATAGTTATACTATGGGAGGTTCTTAAACGGTCTGAAGTCTCGACTAAAGGTCTCCAGACCCTCCCAATCTGAGTCCCCAGCAGGCGACTAACCTCCACCGGAGTAAACAGATTGAAGCCCTAACTAACCAAACCTCCTCTATCGAAGTAAATCCGGTACAGAATAGTGAATTGACTCCTCGACTAAAGTTGTCAATTCACTACCTTCAATCAAGGGCACTCTATCAACTTAGGTAGATACTCTCTTTCTAGGTCAAAGCAGAAATAACAGGAATTTGATCAGGATTCATGCCATTCAAGAAATCAAACCTCAATTGAATATAAGCATATCAATGAATCTGTACTCGGGTTCATACAAGCATACCTAACATACAAATCTAGGGTTCTTCATACCCAGGTGAATGAGAAAGTTACTCCATAGAGAGAGAATGGAAATCTAGCTCAGATGCGGAAACCATACTGTGAAGGATGAGATTCTGCTTCTGGCACTCAATCAGGTCTTCTCCAAGCTCAAACCGGGCTCTAATGGTGATGAAGATCGATCTATGACACTTGTAGGATCAAGTTCGTCACTTTCTCTCTCTAGGTATACGCTTTCTCTCTCTAAAACTCGGAACCCCTTCAAAATTTGGCCTTCTTTCCCTTAAGAATCAACAAATCGTGATCCCCGGTCAGGGATTTCAGGTGCCCGGCTGGGGATTTTGAAACGCATCGCAACACCAAAGGGTTAATACCCGATTGTGGTCCAGAATACCCGATCGGGTATTTTTGCTCTCAGGTCGGGACCTCTCTTGCTTTTTGGCGCCCAAAAACAGTTTTCCCCGGCCTCCCATTGCATTTTACCCGGCCGGGTATTTTCACTCATGGGCGGGTATTTTGCTCTTCCAACACCCTTCCACTCAAACGTCCTCCTTTTGACCCGAAACTCGTTTCATCGCCTTCACGTCAACGCCAAGTCCTGAAATATGACATAAACACACAACCTAGCGTGAACTCGGCTTAAAACACGAGAATCGACTCTCAAACGGCTCAATAATGGAGGTGAAAACATGTGCAATCAATGGTCTATCAGAGTTGCAGATGGAGAAGATAAACCATAAAAGGGGCTAAATTTTATTTGATAATGCTTATATACTATATATTACAAGGACATGTTTGATTTGAAAAATAATAGAGGGATAGATTTGAGAAAAATGGATAATAGAGTGACAATTTATGCTGTTAACTCTACATGGAAAGTCAAAGAGTATATTGGTAGAGTAGAATTGAAGCTTTTATAATGTTTGGATTCTTTTAACTTTGGTACGTTCATTAGTATCTAACACTTAACAACCCACACTTATTATTCAAAGAAGCCTATACACTAAATCATAATAATTTATACAATAAGCATTATATTATCGTATTCTTCCATATTTGAGATTTTGAGGCATAATCTTTTCTTTATTCTCTTGATTTTTTATATACCTTCAATTTCTACCAATTCTAGATGACATATATTTCCTTCCAACTCCAAATTTATATCGGAGAATAAAAATTCCACAAATTTCTTATAAGATATAGGGGGAAAAATACAAAAGACTAAACTAGGACGACTTGATTAAAAAAATACATATTAACTAATTATCGCTAATGTTATAATCAACAAATACCATAAAGATTACTTTAAAATAATGAATTAGCTATTTTAGAAAACCTCAAATTATTTTAAAACATGAAAAAATTGATCAACATAAAATAAAATTTATCCGATCAACGGGTCAGGTAAATATTTTAAATATAATTATAAATTAACCAATGTAAAAGATAAAAAAAACTCATTCGGTCAAGGACCAAGTAAAAACTAGTTAATTATTAAGATTACAATGGTTGGTGGGTGCTTGATTCAACATATTATTCAATAAAGACGTGACTCTAAGTACTTATTGCTAAGTAGTGGAAGAGCGTCTTGTGAGGACAGAGCTAAATATAGCGAGCATATTGATATCATCGAGGATTTGGGCTAAGGCCATGTGAAGCGAAAGTGGGTCAAGCATCGAGCAACTCAGGTGTGACATGCGAGGCATGGAGCAGTGCGTAATGGGATTGGAAGAGGACATGGAGGCACTTTATAGTGAGATACTTGGCATCCTCAACAACACCATCGAGTCATTGAGAGAGACGATCAAGGCGGATCTTGCTAGCATGAGACAAGAGGTTGCGGAGCTCAAGGTATAGATGAATCTCCTAAAGAGCGTCATGGTTAAAGGACCTGACGTGGCAAAACTGCACTAATTGTGAATTTCTGAGACCAGAGAGCTTTTGAAGGGTTTAGAAATGTTAGGAGTTAGATAACTTCCTGTGGAACTTGGAACAATATTTCGAGATGTCGGGTATTCAAAACTAGAGAACGGACTCCAAGAGAGAGCTGAAGAATCATATTGTCAAAAAGTATCTTATTTTATTGTAAAAAATCACCGATACAATTATTTTAAGTTATAATCTTTTATTTTATTTTTCATATACTTTTATTCAACAACTGTTTGTAGGAAAAAAAAATGGAAACTAAAATTAAACACCCCAAATTAGATATTCAACACTCCGAGACGGAGCTCCGGAAAACTAGTAGTGCGACGTAAAATCTAACGCGAGCGATCTAGGGTTTTGCGGGCTATGACGGAGGTGACGGCACCGCTGGCCGGGGTGGGGAAACTGATAGCCCCATGACGGCAGAGGCTGTGTCTGGTCAACGACGACCGCCAACTGAATCCTCTTCCCCAAACCCTGAGGGTGAAAGGGAAGCGCAACAGACGAAGAAGAGGGCAAAGCAAGCTATTCCGCCTATGGAGGGAGATGGTGTTATCAACCTGGACGACGTGGGACACTCAAGCCAACGGAGCCCCCCAGACTCCGAGTCCACAACCGTCAGTCTGGGGAAAGGGTTCGGGGGCAGCAAGGAAGCTTTTCGGTGACTCATCGCGCACTAGTACGTGGTATATCGCGGACTCTAACTCTGAGGACGTGGCCAAAGCCATGAGACAAGAGGGATGTGATGCAGGGTTCGAGGGAGTTGATGATCCAAAGTGCCCGTCGATATATTTTTTTCCGGTAATTAGTAGATTCTATTAAGAGCACTCCCCTAGCCAAAACAGCACAAGAGTTTCGAAAAAATACAAAGGCTTAAAGCCCACCCGTCCCAAACAAACAAAAAATGGGCCAAAAGCTAACAACCTATAAAACTCTACCACAACTAGTAGACAATTGAAGCTGTGTAGCAAACTCAGGATGCCCACAGGCATAAAGGTGGATCTCTTCCCTGATCTGTTCTGTCAGCACTTGGACCGGACAAGGAGGTTCTCCAAAGACTCGTCTACATCTTTCCTTCCACACACCACTAATACACCAGCTCCAAACAGAGCTTTCCACTAGCCCATTGCTTCTGTGGTTCTTGATACAATTGATCATGAACAGCAACATATCTGACCAGTCTTGGTGAGTCTGCATTCTGTACCTTAACAGCCCAGCAGCCACATCCTGCATATACTCACATTGAAAAAATAGATGAGAACGACATTCCTCAGCAAGATAACACAAGGGATATTTGCTATCAGATATCATTCCCCAGCTTTTAAGCTTATTTCAAGTATTGATCCTGTCTAACACAATCAGCCAAATCAATATACTGTTCCTGGGTAACATATATTTATTCCACACAACTTTCCACCATTCTACCTTTGGCCGCTTCTTACGGATTGATTTCCAAACCACAGATACTGAGTATTTATCCAATTACTTGCCTTGCCACGTTACAGACCCCTGTTCCTGCTGCAATCTGTATTGTAGCCAAGGACGAATTTTCAACACCTGTATTGTAGACGTCGATATATTTTACGTTGGCTGAAGAGAGATTGTTTAATCGGGAATGGCGCTCGGCACTTGTGGTTAAAGATTTGGGGAGGTCTGTGTCCTACACCCTCATGGCTAAACGGTTGACGAGCATATGGGCTCGAGTGAGCACAATCCAAGTGACTTCGGTTAAGAACAGTTATTTTCTTGTCCGTTTTACCAGCGGGATTGACTATGAGCGAGCGATGACGGGTGACCCATGGATGGTGGGTGATAACTATCTAACCGTTCATCCTTGGACGAAGGATTTTAACCCGTATGAGCATGAAATTTCTTCAACCCTTGTATGGGCGAGACTGCCAGAGATCCCAATCCAATATTTTCATCCTATGGCTGTGATGAAAATCGGGCAACACATTGGAAAGCCTATTCGAGTCGATCAGGCAACGAGTACGGGCGCCCGTAGTGACTATGCTCGGGTGTGTGTTCAGGTTGACCTCACCAATCCACTACTCTCGAAGTTCTCGTTGCATGGGAAGAAGAATTTCATTCAGTACGAAGATTTAGAGAACATTTGCTTGAAGTGTTGGACGTACGCTACACGAGGATGTTGCTCATGCACGTTTACATCGGTGGAGATGGAGACGGACACAAATGTGACTAATGTTGAAACCCCTCCTGAAGAGCCTGATACTCTCTACGGAGAGTGGATGATAGCACAGAAGCAGCCTCGATCGAGGAAGGAACAGGGGGGTCGAACTATGGAGACGGGGAAAGCCAAGATAGGTAATGGGACGAGTGCACAGGGAGGGTCATTGGGATCTAGATTCACTGCCCTAGCCTCTGTTGAGGTGGAGGAAGATAATGCAATAGATGGTACAAAGAAAGATGGCTGCAAAAATAATCACCCCGCGAGTACTGGAAGGGAAGTCTACCTATGGGAAAGCCTTTGAAGGGCACGAGCGGGGGAGCTAAAAAAAACAGGAGGTCCAATTGGGTTGGCTGGCCATGATTCTGGGAAGCAGAAGATGAGAGTTGAATTGAGTAAGCAGATGCAGCTACCTAGCGAGCCCTCAACAGTGTCCAAGATGAAGGCGGTGGATCCGACCATACCAGTTCGAAGCTCTTCCATGAATGAAATACCACTGATGCCTGTGTCGGCTCAGGAGAAATCAGTTAACAAGGGGGCCCAACCTATGGACACAAATGCTACGCAAGGACACCATGATAGACCTCTGGATAACCACAGCCAGCAGGTGGAGAGTTCGGGAGATATCGTTTCAGAGAAGAAGAATGAGAGTATTACGGAGAGCCTCGTGACTGAGGCTTCTCCAACATGACATTCTATCGGTGATCACCGGAGCCTGCTCTTCCATATTTTATTAATGATGAACATCTTTATGTGGAATTGTAGGGGTGCAGGGAGCAAACGCTTCCTAAGAGTGTTTAAAGAGTACAAGAGGAGATATCATCCGGGTATTGTGATAATTGTTAAGCCGCGGATTAGTGGAAACAAAGCGTTGCAAGTGGTGGGGAGTATGGGGTTTGATAAGTTCCTTATTATGGATGCGGTAGGGTTCTCGGGAGGTATATGGTTGATTTGGGACTCGGCGGTAGCCACTATCTCAAAAATGGACAGGTCGAGCCAGATGCTCCATGTACAAGTGACGACGGGAGAAGGCAGTTGGTACCTTTCAGCGGTGTATGCAAATCCGACGTTGGTTCCCCGGGCTGAGCTTTGGCATTTGGTTAGAGAGCTGGTGGAGTCGATGGTAGATCCTTGGCTATTGGCAGGAGATTTCAACTCCATCCTTCAGCCATCGGATAAATCAGGAGGTGCTAATTTCGATGCGAGCCGAGCGAGGGAGTTCCAGGATTGCGTGCTGCACGCGGGATTGGTGGATCTTGGATTTTGTGGACCGCCATTCACCTGGTTCAAGAGAGGTGTGAAGGAAAGGTTGGACAGAGGACTGGTCAATTCCGCTTGGAGTGCGAAGTTCCTGGAGGCTTCAGTGAGACACCTGCCGAGGATTAAGAGCGATCATAGACCCATTTTGGTTACTTTGCAGCCGACTTTCCAACCTGGTGGCCCCAAACTCTTCAAGTTTTTAGCAGCTTGGCTAGTGCATGAGGGTTTCAATGATATGGCTAGCCAGGCATGGGCAAAAGGGGTGGATTTTTTATCGTTGGTGGCCGAGTTTATTGAGGAGGCTAAAAAGTGGAATGCTGAGATTTTCGAGAATATAATAAGGAGTAAGAACTCTTTGCTAACCCGGATTGAGCGGTTGGAAGCTAGGTATGGTGGTGATGCGGAGCATGATCTCCTGCGATCGGCGAGGCAGGAGCTCGAGGAGGTCCTCTTACAGGAGGAGCTTCTGTGGTGCCAGAAGGCTCGGTTGGAGTGGGTAGCCTCAGGAGACAGGAACACAAGGTACTTTCACTCCAGAATGATGAATCGGCGCTGGAAAAATAGAGTAACGGCTTTGAAAAATGGAGCGGGAGATTGGATTGACGATCAAGATCAGCTCCTTGACCTCGCACGTGATTTTTTCTCGGGTCTGTACACTGGTGATGGAAACCTCGTCCGCTTCCTAGTGCGTGATTTTCGGGAGGTGACGCCTGCTCTCTGGAATCGGCTTGATAAGGAGTTCACGCCGGAGGGGATCTATCAGTCTGTTAAAGCTATGGGTGCATTGAATGCACCGGGAAAGGACGGTCTGAACCCTCTTTTTTATCAGCGTTGCTGGGATTTTTTTGGGGCAGTAGTTGTAGATTTTGGGAAGTCTTGCTGGCACATGCCAGAGCGCGTTCATGAAGTGAATGACACTATCGTTGCACTCATTCCCAAGGTCCAAAACCCGTCCTTGATCGAGCAATTCAGACCGATTAGCCTCTGTAATGTGGCTTACAAAATTATTACGAAGTGCCTGGTAGAGCGGCTCAAGCCTCTGATGTCGAGATTGGTGCATGCCACGCAGATGAGCTTTGTCCCGGGCAGACACATTACTGACAATATTTGTATTTTGCAGGAAGTTTTCCACTTGATGCAGGCAAAGCAGGGTGAGATGGGCTGGATGGTTCTGAAAATTGATCTGGCCAAAGCTTACGACCGAATTAAGTGGAGCTTTGTATGGCTTCTATGCAGCAGGTTCAAGCGATATTGAGATGTTTGGAGGAGTTTGGGTTGGCCTCTGGGAAGGCGGTGAGCAAATAAAAATCGAGGGTCTTTTTCTCGAAGACTGTCTCGGGTGGTGAAGGCGCTTCTCTTAGCGCTACTCTTGATATTCCGGTGACTCATAATCTGGGTCGTTATTTGGGCGTCCCAGTGATTCATGGCAGGGTGTCCAAAGCAACGTATACCAGTCTCATTGACCGCATTGATTCCAGACTTGGAGGATGGAAGGTGAACTCGTTGTCTTTGGCAGGTCGGATTACATTGGCTCAGTCAGTCCTCTTATCGCTCCCAACTTACACGATGCAAACTGCGCTTCTTCCGGCATCGGTCAGGGAGTATATAGATAAGAAGATTAGATGTTTCATTTGGGGGAGCTCGGAGCAGGGGAGGAAGGTTCATTTGGTGGATTGGGATTCGTTGTGTAAACCTAAGGATGAAGGGGTCTAGGGTTGAGGACTGTGACGAAGATGAACGAGGCGTTTATGCTTAAAATTGCTTGGAGGCTTTTCACCGAGCCCGAGAGCCTCTAGGCACAAGTGATTCGTGGGAATTATCTATAGGAGGTCGATGGGTCGTGGCAACCTAGGAGGAATGGGCGGCTGTCAAACCTATGGAGGAGAGTTCTTAGAGTTTTAGATTACTTGCCTGAAGAAACAATATGGAATGTGAGAAGCGGCATGCAGACTCGGTTCTGGAGAGATAGATGGCTCCAAGATGGGTCGCCATTGGAGGAGTTTGGGGTTAATCTCCCAGCTGAAGTGAGGGATCTGCGGGTAGCGGAACTCGTTCTGAATGGTGAATGGAAGTTGGCTTTCATTCAAGCCTTCCTCCCGGAGGCTTTGGTTCTTCAGCTGCAAATATACCCAGTGCCAGAAGGAATGGAACCGGACGTCCCAGTGAGGAGGTTCTCGGAGTCGGGTAAGTTTACAGTTCGACAAGCGCGCCGAGGAGGCCGACAACCTCGTCTTCTACGTGCACAGCCGTTGCATGGTCGGGAAGGGCGTCGACCTCAGGGTCGCCACGCGGCATTACTACGGCAACGTCATGAGGAAGATGCTCTTCGGCCTGAGATTCTAAGGCTGGGATTGGGCTATTACGAGTTTGATTTAAGAGATGAACAGACAAAGAACAAATAAAGTTCTTATTGAATTGAAATAGGGAAATAGCAATTTTGGAAATTAATTCCTTAGTTTTACCTATTCTGCTGTCATTATGACTGCTTTTCAAAACAGAAATACAACGAAAAGGAACGAAAAGGTAAAAACAAGAGAAGGGTTGAAGCAGAGGACTGCGAACAGCAAATTGAAAGGAAAATGAGATGGAACAAGCGAATCTTCTCACTCCTATCTACCCAGAAACCCTTCTCCGTAGAACGAGAGGAAGAAAGAGGATTTGAACACAAAAGACTCTAAGAGTACTTCCCAACCCAAGATTTCCCAGAGTTACGACTGTAATCCTGGAGTACTGAAGAACTCTATAGAGGAACCCATTACAACCCAAAGACACATGCTTTCTTGTTGTAAAATGTTAGGTTGAGAAGAAGGATCTTGAGTTGCTTAAATAGCCCATCAGATGACCGTTGGAGAGGCTATCCATTTAGGGTTGATGCTCATGCTTCTTGAAAAGTGAATGCCATTGAAAGGAACAAGAAGCATGCCTGCTTTGTGCCATGAAAAAGCTGCATATGCTTTTGCCTTTTGAGACTTTTGCTTTTCTGCTTTTGGAGAAGAATGGTAGCAAGGTGCAGGACGATTAAGAGACCTGGAAGCTTGTTGCAGTGGGCTGAAATGTGTTGCTTGTGGGCTTATGATTGATGAAATTAAGTGGGCCAAGTCCAACACGGCCGCAGGTACGTAGAAAATCATTTCGTCTCAATAATTCGAGCTATGAGATATTAATAAATTACAAAATACAACCGTAATTTGAATTGATATTTTAGAAACTGTATCCTATCGTCTGATCAGCTCTAAACAATAGGATAATTTTAGATGTAGGAAATGATTGAAGCAGGCAATTAAATCATAATTTTAGTTCAAATATCTTACTAATGTTTTTTTTTCTCATGTAACTTCAGTTACGATTTCACAATTCTGAATAGATTCTTCGGGGAGCCAACCTCGAATGGTGGGCCCGGGCCGATGGAAGTGGAGCACGTGGAGGCATTGTTCACCGGGTTGAAGTACTTGTACTTCTCTGGTGTATCGGATTACCTGCCATGGTTGAGGGGATGGAACATCAAAGGTAAGGACAAGATTGTTAAGGAAGCGGATAAGACCATCAAAGCCCTCCAAAACCCTAGTATCGACGAGAGGATTCGACAGTGGAGAAGTAGAGAGAGGAAGGAGATTGATGACCTCATTGACGTCCTCGTCACTCTCAAGGATGACGTCGATGGGAAACCCTTGCTTACTCCCCAAGAAATCAAGTGCCAGGCTGCGGTAACAATTAATTAAAAAGTTACATATAACGTAAGTCAACTGACATTTTTTATCATGGCTAAATTTCATGTTATTATCAATGGGTGCATTCATGTGCAGGAATTAATGATGGTGGTAATAGACAACCCATCCAACACGGTGGAGTGGATGATGGCAGAGCTAATCAACTGACCAGATCTCATGGCCAAGGCTATGGAGGAAATCGATCGAGTTGTTGGAAAAGATTCGCGACTAGTTCAAGAATCTGACATCGGAAGCTTACACTATGTGAAGGCGTGCGTCAGGGAGGTATTTCGTCTACACCCGGTATTTTCGTTTAATATGCCCCACGTGTCAACTCGTGATACGGTTGTGGCTGGCTACCTCATCCCTAAGGGCAGTCACGCCCTGATCAGTCGTTACGGGCTTGGCAGGAACCCAAAGGTTTGGACTGATCCGCTCAAGTTTGACCCAGAACGTCACCTCATTGATGACCGAGGTGGTGTGACCCTCACTGAGCACGATCTCAGGTTCATATCATTTAGCACCGGGCGGCGTGGTTGTGTGGCGTCGACGCTTGGGACTTGCATGACCACCATGCTGCTAGCCAGGATGCTCCAGTGCTTCACTGGGCTTCATCAGGGCCCATTGAGCTTGCTGAGGCAAAGGATGAGCTCTTTCTAGCCACGCCCCTCGTAGGGTACCCTAAGCCGCGTTTGGCTCCCTACCTATACCCTGAAACAAATTAAGAACAAGTTTGTGTTAGGAATATTTACTTCTTGTTAGTTTATCATATTTACTCATAAATTGCTAGAAACAGGAATGTTATCACCTCCTTCTTTTCGTATCTCATTTAATTTATGGTCCCAACAACTCGAATTATTAAAACTAATTGGTTTTCTTGACACCGGATAGCTTTCATTATGATGAGAACAAACCTGAATTATTGTTATGATTGCTTCTACAAAACTTTTTGTAGGTGAACCTGAATTATTAATTACCAGATTACAATTGGCCGTTGGGGCCTACATGGGAATCAGAAAGTAGTACACCAACAGCAAAAGATATGGGTCTATCCCAAAACAGCCGAGGCTAGGTCAGGTGATTAAGTGAATATCGTTACCAAAATATCGGGTATTCGAGGCAAAAACAACAAGATACATGTTTTCCTGTGAGGAAAATTTGGTGTTTGAACACAATGAATGCACCTATGGAGGTTCAGTGAGAGCTCCGAAAACTAAGGCTATGGCTAATTTGCAAAGAAAAAGATAAAGTTTGACATAGTGTGTCAAATGGTTGGTTGTGGACCCCTTGCTTCGTCTTCGTTTCACCTATTTATAGCCATCACTTGTAACCGCTGTGTAACCCTAGTTAACCGCTTCTCCTTTGCTTGGTGCTTGATGTAGCTTGCTTGACGTCTTGATTGTCTTACGTGCTTGCTACTTGATACATTGCACCTTGATAACTTCACTTGATAGCTAGCCCCTTGTGCCATGGAGGTGTCTTGCTTAGTGAGTGAAGGCTTCACGCTTGGTGGTACTCGTGCTAACCACCCTGACATGACGTCGTGCTCGACACCAAGGGGTTTGGGGTTTGATGGATGCACACTGATCCCCATAGGGTGGCATCATGCTTGCAGTGTTTTGACAAACTGGTCTACCACATGATGATATACATGGCTGACCACTTAGAAACTTGACAAACCTGCTCAGCTTGGGTACTTGAGAGGTGAGTGTCAAAGTAATGTCGACTCCAACTCTCCTTGCACGACCTCATGCTCGGCACCCTAGTGTTTGGTATCCGGCACTTGACCCCCTTGGACGGTATCATGCATGACCCCCCTTGGATGATGTCATGCTCGACCCCTCTTGTGGTTGGATCTCCATACTTAGCCAATTTTCACCTCGACATAATGCTTGACACCCTAGTGCCATGTGCTATGGGTCTCAACACTTAGTCAATTTTCTCCTTCTTTCCCATCATGTCTAGCGATACTCGCGATGACCCCTTCGCATGACACCATGCTTGACCCCCCCCCCCGGGGATGATGTCATGATTAATCCCCCTGGTGGTTGGGTCTGAACATTTAGCCAAATTTTGCCCCCACCATGCCGACTTGGGTGGTTGATGTTGAAGGGTGTGAACACGCTTGGCACTTGACCCCTCTTGCGTGACGGGTGGGTGTTTGGTGGGTCAAGTGGTGTGTGTTGAGGTACCTGGTATGAAGCCCAAAATACCATCATTTAGGCCCAGCTTAAACCAATGTAATTAATATGGTTAAGTTGGCCTTATAAATCACTATCACTCCTTGAAAATAATCAATGTGGTATTGAGTTATTTTTTAGTGGTAAACAATACCCCTTCATTATTTGGTGTGCACCACTATGTTATGGTGGAGGAGACGCGAGGTTGTGTCAATAGAAGGATGTCTACCATTGCGTCGTAGCCCGCGTGGGTAGACTTCAAGAGGGAGAACACAAATCGTAGATATTGTCAAAAAAAAATATTTTATTTCTCAAAAATCAACTCATACAATTATTTTATGTTACAATTTATTTTATTTTTCTTATTTTCTATTCAACTATTTGTAGAAAAAAAAATCAAACAAAATGGAACCCAAATTTAAACTCCCCATAACAAAAAGGGATAATCAAATTCAAACCAAATCCCTTATATATAAACTAGTATATCTAGCTTCTTCTCCCTAACTTCCTCTCTCATGCTGGAGTCACGGCCCTAGCAACGTACTTGCAGCCCCCATAACCTGAAATCACAAATTATTAAACGTAACACAAAACATTAAAAATTCCATCCTTAATTAACCACAACAATAATCCATATTAACTCATGAATGAAACTAAGCACATGATAAATACGTACTGGGATCCTGATTTGTGATGACGGCGGAGTTGGAGAAATCGCAGTCCCACTTGTTGCCGTGTGATTGGTAGTAGAGGTTCATGGCGAAAGCCGCGTGGGAAGCGGCGGTGTTGGGATCGTAGCACTCGCCTCCCAGCTGGATCGGGCCGCAATCCATCTTCGGCTGGCTGCACACGTAGTCGATGTTCGACTTCAGCTGCTCCACCGGCGTCCCGGGCTTCGGCACGCACCACGACAGCCTCGCCGGGGTCAGCTTCGAGATGAACTTGCACGTCGCGGTACCTGTATCACATAATCGTGAGGTTTCGTGTTCAAATTACCAGTACTAGAAAAAAAAAGACTAACATACGTTGACGCTACGTACAAAAAAAAAAACAGACAGACTCAGTGTATCGTGAGTTTTTTTTTTTTTTTTTGAGCAGTTGAAAAAAAAGACGCGAATTATCGAGGAAAAAAGGTTGCGCCTTACTGGGATCGACATCGGTCAGGGTGGCGGTGTTGGAGAAGTCGCAATCCCAGACTTCGCCGTGGTCTTGGTAGTAGAGATTCATGGCGTAAGCGGCACGAGAGGTCAGATCTTGGGGACAGCCACCTCCAGGTTGAATCGGAGTGCAGTCCATGTTGGGCTGATCGCAAGCGAACTTAATGTTTTCGATTAGCATTGAATCTGTAACCCCCGGCTTAGGTATACACCAACGTTGACGATTTTGTGCATCTACATAATAAAAATAAATGTATATATGTAATATCAATAAATTGTCATAAATTATATAAATATGGATAATCGTCGATGATTATTTATCAACCGAGTTTACGACGATATCTGATGACTTACTGGCTAGGTTTAGAGACTGGAGGGCAACAATGGAGATGAAGAATGCAATGTGAAATGCCTTCATTTTTTTTCCTCTTTTGAATCAACAATCGGAGTTTGAAGGAAAAAAGTGATGAATTGTGGAAATGGGCAGTGGTGGTGGTGGACGAGATTTGAATGTTGAGAAAAGTTGTTGATAATTTATAATTATTTTAGTGACGTTAATTATAAGAAACAGGGAGGAAAAAATAGGAAATTGTATTTTATTTTCGGAAAATTTTGAATTAAGCTGCATCATGCATAATGACGTAAGACTCGGGTCTAAGTCCTATAAAAACTCTTCTTAAACACAGTGATGTCACATGTTAAAAGCTTAATGGGGTTACCATTCGAAGGACTATTACACAATAATTATAATATAGACCGGATTATATTTGTTGCATTCGTCATCAACTAACTCTTTTCATATAGATATTACATGGACTTTATGTCAATTTAAATCCGTGCCACCAATGATCATTAGTGTAAAGATCAAAGCTAGCAATTATATTGATTTTTTCGGTTAACCGATAACCAGGCGGTTTTCGATAGGGGGAGTGATTATTTCGATTAACCAATAACCGATCAATCAATTACCGGTTATAACTGAACTGTCACCCCTAAGTGACATCTACATCAGCGTTTTGTCTTAAGGTATAATTTTGGTTACAAAATATTGGTATCTGTTTGTAAATTCATATAAGTTGACAGACTAAACTGAAAGTCGATAAGGGATAAATAGCTTGGTTTATGAGTTCTTTAGTGGACTCGCAGCCGTGGTGAAACAAGTGGGCCTTGGCCCATGGCCCACATCAAAGTTATTGTCAAACTTACTTATCCACTGTCCTTTTCTCACTGAACTGTCCTTTTTCACCTCTTTCACCACTGTCAACTTTATGAGCCCTCTCTCTCTCTCTCTCTCTCTTCGCTCTTCTGCGCTCTGACTTAGCCAGGCGACAGTTCCATTCCCAACTGCTCTCTTGAGTCTCTTCTCCTTCTTCCCCCATTTTCTTCCTTTCTTCTCAACAACTATAGATTAATAGCAATCTCTTCTCCCAGCTGACTTGCCTTTTCTGCATTCCCCTTTGTCACCACGAAATTCTCCAGCTTGCGCTTCAATTCCGATTGTGGAATGGCGAGGAGCTTCAACTAATGGGGTCTCCTCGAATTCCCATTTGAAACTCTGCAAATTCCCCCTCTTTCTTCCTCTTGTTCTTGTGCTGCTTCTTGTTTGAACTGTGGGGGGAAGAAGGGAGAGAAACGATGTCCGTCGCTGAACTGAAAGAGCGTCATGTGGCTGCTTCTGAGACGGTCAATACTCTCAGGGAGCGATTGAAGCAGAAACGCCTCCAATTGCTCGATACGGATGGTACGGTTTCTTCAATTTCCCAGCCTTTGTGATTTTTTGAAAGAGCGTAACGAGATTAGTTCCTTTTATGCTTCATTCTCTTTGTGGGTTTTCCATTTCCTCGTACTTTTGCCTGCTTTGAATGCTGCGTTAGATCCGATTGGATTCTTTTTGTTTGGCAGTTGCTGGGTACGCCAGAGCTCAGGGGAAAATTCCGGTCACCTTCGGCCCAACTGATCTTGTCTGCTGCCGGACACTTCAGGGACATACTGGCAAGGTAAGTTCATATAGCTAGCTCGCTAGCTAATCCCCCAATTCTTTCGGTGTTTGGTTTCTTTGAGAAGTCATACATTTAGGGGCAAATTTCAAATCTTTTTGCTGTTAGCTAGGGTTTACTCTCAGCGATTGTTGATGTAGATTGCTTAATGTGACCTTATTGAATTTAGCTTCGTTACCATGTGATCCCGTGTAGATATATATTTCGCATTGTACATTATTTATTCATGTTTAGTGTGGGAGGGAGTGGTGATTTCATCTGAAGAAAGTTTGCTTATGAAAGGTTTATGCATTGGATTGGACTACCGAAAAGAACCGGATAGTGAGTGCTTCACAAGATGGGAGGTTAATAGTATGGAATGCTCTAACGAGTCAAAAAACTCATGCAATCAAACTTCCTTGTGCATGGGTCATGACCTGCGCCTTCTCTCCATCCGGACAATCAGTTGCATGTGGTGGTCTTGATAGTGTCTGCTCAATTTTCAACCTCAATTCCCCGCCTGACAAAGATGGTAACTTAACTGTGTCCAAGATGCTTAGTGGGCACAAGGGTTATGTATCATGCTGTCAGTATGTGCCAGATGAAGATGCCCACCTAATAACTAGCTCGGGTGATCAGACATGTGTATTATGGGACACCACTACTGGTCTCAGGACTTCCGTATTTGGAGGCGAGTTTCAGTCAGGTCACACTGCTGATGTATTAAGGTCAGTGAAGAAGGCATTCCGCAGTTTGGGTTTTGTGATAGTATTATTTTTCTCATCTATTGATCAATTATCATTCCTTGATTGATAGTTGCTATTCAAAGTCATTTGTATCCCGATTTCAATCGAACAGATATATGAGTGTTACAAAACTAATGTGAATAATCTATTCTCTTGGATTCATATCACCCATACCGGCAACACTGCAGTTAGAACCAACGACCTCAGGGTGCATTTGTGTACTATTTTACCATTGGACCCTGGGGCGTTGTTCATGTAAATAACTTGTAAATTGTGTGATACGCCTACTTCAGATGGACAGGCCTATTTTGAATTTTTGAGGATGATAATAACATTATTCTTGTGCTGCTTCAGTGTCTCAATTAATGGTACCAGCTCGAGGATGTTTGTATCTGGTTCTTGTGATGGAACTGCTCGGCTATGGGACACTCGTGTTGCAAGTCGAGCTGTGCGTACATTCTATGGGCACAATGGAGACGTTAATGCAGTCAAGTTCTTTCCAGATGGGAATAGGTTCGGAACTGGTTCGGATGATGGAACATGTAGGCTATTCGACATCAGGACTGGACATCAACTGCAAGTGTACGAACAACAGCAGAATGGCGAGAATGAAAACCCGCATGTGACCTCCATTGCATTCTCTATATCAGGAAGGCTTCTCTTTGCTGGCTATTCGAACGGTGCCTGTTATGTATGGGATACTCTTCTGGCAGAGGTGAAGTTCTTTTTCAACCGTGGATTAGGTGGGAGGATCCATATATTTTCAAACCTTTGTTTTGGCATTTGACTCTGTTATGGTTGTTGTTGTCTGGGACTAGGTTGTCTTGAACTTGGGAGCTCTGCAAACCTCACACGAAAGCCGTATCAGTTGTTTGGGTATGTCAGGTGATGGAAGTGCCCTATGCACTGGAAGTTGGGATTCAAACCTAAAGGTAAATCCTAACCGAAATGACTAGGTTTTTTTTTATTGCTTACTTATGCTTGGTGAATTCTCTCTTGACTATGGTGGTGCTTTTCAGATTTGGGCCTTCGGTGGGCACCGGAAGGTTGTCTGAGTCCCGAGGAAATAAGTATTCAAACACATTCTTCTTCTCTGGCCATTCTCTCTGCTCTCGTCAGCACTTGGAACTTGTTATCTCTTTCTGGTTGATGCTTGATTGCTTTGCACAAAAAGTGGACGAAGAGAAAAGAACCGCCTTGGCCTGGGGAGTCTGCACAAGGGCAGTAGCGAAGCAGTAGTGATTAGCCGTTTATATGTGTTCCTGTGCCAACAAGTCCCACCATCTTCCTGTAGCATAGTGTATTTAGCTCCCGAGTTTTACGCTGCTTTGTTTGGAGTCATGAATATGTAAATGGAAGAATGTTGGGGGTTGAAGTTGATGTTGTTTTGTTGGAGGAATGCAAATGCAAGTTTGTATCTGCAAGGAGTAGGAACCAAAACTTGTGTACAACGTAGTCAAATCTCTGTTATTTTGCGTTGCGAATTATGGATTTCGGTCTTCACTCACCCTGTTACAGGAAGATAACATTTGATTCATTGTTGAGTGTATTATCTCTGGTTGAATGTGCGCCTATGCAATCAAAACATAAGTGAATCTTAAACAAAATATAGAACGCAGCTACCATAGTACAATATAACCTCAGTCGTCCTGACAAAAATAATTCAAGATGAAAAAAGAAACAGGACAATGAGCTAATGACTCCCAAAATTCATCGCATGTATGCCGCCGTATAACAAACCAAGAAAACAACACAATATGACGAGTCCTTTTACTCTGGGCTCACACAAGACTTCTACAATATTAGAACTAGCTGGGTGCCCGGCCTTTGGCCGGGTGTGTTTTGTTTGTTTGTCTTGTGTGTTGATATTTTTTCCCCGGTAATTATCTTGTGTGTTGTGTGTTGATATTGAAGGGAGGTTTAGTTTGGTGGGGATTGTGTTTTATACTTTTATTGCGTCCTTTAAACGTCAATATGACACAATTCAGTACCACCAATAAATTTTCTATTCATGTCATTTTTGTTTGCGCTTTAGTTACACACGAGGTTACCAATAAGCTTTAAGAAATAGAAGTACAGACCTTGTATTAAGGGGTTATGTTTTTAATGTAAGAGGAAAATAAAACCTTATTTATCAATTTATAGCAGTAGCTTAGATTTGCCTTTACAATTTATTTACATACAATTGAAGGGTTTTGTTTTTGTACATTAGGGAAAGATAAATTATTCTGGAATATTTATCATAGTAGTAGTCTATAGGTGGTGACATTCGGTCCTTGGTGGTGTTCTTGGTTTGTGTTGTTGCTCAGAATCTGATATCACCAAAGTCTCGGCTGTTTTTTTTTTTTTTGCTTTGGTTCTCCATTGCTAGTCCTGACTCTTGTTTAATTATTTTGATGTTGTCGTTGGCTGGTGTTGCTGCTTGCTTTGACATAGTCAGGAAACTCAGTTCCAAAGTTATGCTGCAATGAGTTATTCAATACGTTATAGATGATTCGATGAATATAAATGCATGAAAGTTTTTTTATTTTTTTTATAAATGCATGAAAGTTTCTTAATAATGACCCTAGTATTGGTGTGATGTGTTTCCCTCTGTGGTTTTTGCATTTTCCTTGACCAACCAAAGAATGAGACAGAAAGAAAAAGCACAACAAATTGGATCCTCTCCATCATCATTCAGATGGAGGGAACCCCCTGCATTAAATCGGCCACTACCAACTCTGCATGCCATAAATTGGAAATCCCCAGAGCGCTGGAAGTAATGTAACCTTGAGCCAGAGATAGAAACAGAAAAGCTGCAAATAAATAAATAATAGGAATAGAAATTAGAAAGTGAAGCTCACATACGGTGAAAGAGGCAAATGAACTTCATTCCAGATAAAAACACCATGCAAAATTAGCAAGTAGCATTTTATACAAGGATCAAACACATCATATGCAAGTTTAGTGGCCAATGTACATATCTTATCAATAGCTAAGCGAAACTTCAGCTACTCTTACACATTACTGACTGTCAAGTGCCAACACAGAAGCTAATTCAGGGAAGGCTGCCTTTCCATCACCAGGTTCTCCTAACATCTCTTTAATATTGGGCTGTTCTAACTTTTCCTGACAACCAAACAGTCAGGCTTCCCCCTCGTACATGTTTCGAAATCCCCCCGCTAACCAGTAGATTGTATGGGATATCGTGATAATTTGTTGTCGCACACATAAGCATGGAATCTTAAAACAAATAATAAGATTATTTGGCCATGCAGTTGTGTTGATAGCATGTGTATGAATCCTAATCTTTGTTGCATCACCAATTGAGAGCCAAAAGCATGGTCAGAAGAAAATGGACCCGTTTAGTGGGAGCTATCACATTCGGTTAAATGTAGCTCTCTTTCCAAGGAAACCATGACGGAAAGGCATTACTAACTATCTATAGTTGAACCTACTATCTATCTAAGTTATCGTGAAAAGAAACTATCAAGAGTCGAACTTATTATCTAACTTGTTGATTGATGTCGCAAAATCTAATAGATGGAACACATTCAATGACATAGGAAGCCCATTCACCTAACCATGCCAATGTCTCTACTTTGTAGTGTTGTAAGTATAGTTTTGAAAATGAGAAAAGCAAAATAGTTGGAGGATTACCTTGGTTGTGTTTTAGTGGTTTCCTTCGTCGGTTTTGAAATCACATTCCATCAGTTTAGTGATGGAATTCTTCTCTATGTTGAAGTTACTGACTTTGACATTGAATTTCTTGATATCTCCAATGAGTTCAGAGACTCTTCTAGGTGGTGTGGTACCCTAGAATTTGCAGTCTGCATCATTTAGTAGGACAAAATTGACATTGCTCGTGTTTTCCTCATCCAACAGATTAATTGTATACCTGTATGGTTGTCATGAACACAGTGAAGTAAGTAGATATGTCTTTGAGGTTGCTTGGAGTTCAAAAAGTGATAGAGAATTCAGTAACTTGGATGAGTGGAGTGGCTCCCCTGAAGCTTATCATAACTTAGTTCAGCACATATAAGCAATGAATAGATGACATTGGTTTGAGATAATTAAGCCAAATTATGTGCAAAAACTTAAAAAGAAACAGAAAAGTGGGAACATAATCCCTTATATGGGAAGTGACGCAGAATCCAGATAGTACTTCTTCACAAATATTATAAATTCATCCTACAATTATCAAAAAGCAAGATAATAGTCGGGCACATTCAATCATCTAGAATAGGTAATACATATGGGTCGAAAAGGGTGAAAAAGAATGATCGCCATATCAAGGAGAAGGAGACTAATAAGATACATTTGCGCCGCAGATTAGGCGGAAGTCTAACACGCACTTTTGAGGGCGAAATATCTCCTCAAACTGTAAAGGGATGTTGGAGATGCCTTAAAACCGATACAAAATAGAACAAATTCGAGCACAGATTTTACTCCAGGATGAAATTACCTGCGGGAATACAAAGAAGTTCACAGGGGACCGATTGAAACGATGGCGATGTTCGGAAGACGGCCGCCTGCGGAGGAATCTGGGCTCTTTCAAACGGTGGGCGCGGAGGAATGAAGAAGGACAAATTGGATCCATGGCGGAAAATGGAATTTGGCCGCACTGACATATACCAATTCACGGAGGAAAAAGGAAGAATCTTTGGCATCGTCCTAGGGCCTACGGAATGGAAACTGGGTTCATGGCGTTTGGGGAAGAAGAGTGGAAGTCCTAGGGCCTACGGAATGGAAACTGGGTTCATGGCGTTTGGGGAAGAAGAGTGGAAATACGGCGAGTAACTCAAGGTGGGTAAATGAGACACCGTTATAAAATTGTCGAAGGGGAAAGGGGAGGAGGAGAGGCATGTTTATTCGGCGGAAGAGAGGCGTTTTAAATGTCTGACGTGGATCCTTGTCGTTTCAAGGAGGATTACGTGGAGGGGGTGGGATTCTAAAACTGCTTTAAGATTTTTTAAGATACAAGAAAATGAACAAGAAAAAAGTGAAAACAAAAGTTTGATGACCTAATTTCTTCAGTTGCAATCACAAATATTACAGTGTTCTTTCTAGCTCTCTTTTCTGGTCGCATCAACGACTCGTATCAATTTCTTAGCCGCTGGCAACGATTTCATGAATGGCATCACTGACAGCGATATCCTCGGATTTCACGGCCAGCTTCATCGCGACTTCCTTTGGGCCGGTGAGCCCGAATTGCAACCTCGCAAGAACCCGCACGTTGCCTATGAACACACCGGACAGAAGACAAGTGTGCGACCTCGAATTGCTTGCGACCACCTCGGTTCCCTGGGAAAACGAAGCAAAATGTAACGACACTCGAGAGAAATTATTTAACGAAATACAAATAGTAGATGTTGAAATGAAGCATCCATTATTAAGCAAGAATTCAGACCTCGCAAGGCTGCATTCCGAGAAGAGAGATGACTGCATTAACGGCTTCAGCAAGGCTTTCCCTCGGACCAAGTCCGTATTCATCCACACGCTCAAGGTCAGCATCCAAGCTTTCCCATGCATTCCTGAAGTTGGAGACCCCGACCTTCTGCATGTAATCTGCAGACACGACTTCAAGTTCCTCCAATTGGTATTCATCATCCACTCCATCTTCATCTGCTTCCCCGGTATTGGGATCAACCTGGCATTTATTCCGAAAGACGAGATCAAATCAGTCAAACCTTGTTTATACTCACAACGGTCATTTGTGCCCAAGAACTTCAGAATAAAAGCAACCAGAGAAATGAGTCCCCAACCGTGTTTTACTTACCTCTTTAACAATGAATTTCAGGGTGTTAGAGAACTTCCCCACTGCAGGAACTCCCTCTGGCTTCTCAAATACAACGAACGTCTGACCAGGAGAATCGTAAGGAAGGGACCTCAAAGGCTTTGATAATACGAATGAAAATTCCTCTGCATCGGAAGAATCCACCACCACACTAACCTGATAACATTAATAATTGAAATGCTAACATAAGCAATGCGTCCAGCTTTTTAAGTCGAGGAAAAAGCACTTGCACCCTAAGAATCAAAATCATTACTTCTTCCAGTAGCTGCTCTGGGATTGTGTTTGTGCAGTTGTATTGGAACACAACATGCCTATCATAGATGTGCTTCACAACATTAACAGCATATTCTGTCTCTGCTTCTGTAAGCTCTGTAGGTGCTGAGGACTGGCAGCAATAAATGGGAAAAGAAGCCACGAGAATGTAAGCAACTTGGTTTGCAGGAGAAGGAAAAAACTGCCAATATGAGTTAAAACAAGAAGGAAGCACACACAGCACCTTGAAAGGTTTCCCCAAACTAGCAAGCTCTGGAATTGAAGAAAGAAGTTTTTCATAAGCATCGACGGTAGATGGAGGGGCAGCTGGTGGAGCACCCAAACCAGTTGGCTGCTTCTTCCCTGGAGCTTTCTTCTCTGCAAGTGGCTGAGACTTGACTTCTTTAGGAACAGAGTTGATATCAAAAGCTTCTTCTGAAGCCACCTGTAACAACATCAACAACAAGATAAGTATTACATGATGAACCATGGACGCCTAATATGCATGACCATGACAGGGCTGACTTACATAGTTTCTCAAACTTGTCTCGAGATTGACAAGTGGAATTTCCAAGGCTCCAAAGAGAAATTCCTTCACATCTTTGTCAGTTTCAACAACTTCTCCATCGCCGCCAAGTGTATTGAGATAAAGGGTTGCACGATCACGGACCTGCAAAAGTAGGTACAGAATTAAAAGGTAACACTCTGGATAACAATAGCATATAGTGTACATGGAAAAGAAACTGCACATTAAAGCAAATCTTACCTCATCGTCACTATCAAATAGGCATCGTCTCAAAAGGACAAAGACACGCGGCTGCATAAAAGAGATCCAAGGGCATATCAACTCTAGTGAATGAGTAGAGAAACAGTGTTCCAGTCCAAAATAAATAAATATATAACACAGGAATAACTGTAATATGCTGTGAAGTTATATTATAAAGACCAATGACTACCTTCAAGGAATCAACCATAGCACCAAACTTTGCCAGTGTGCTCACAGCAGCCGCTCGAACAGTAGCATTCTCAAGATGTACACGGTTGTAGATGTAACGTATGTACTTGCTAGGATCTGAAGTCTTTGGGCCCTCGATCCCCAGGAAATGAAGTATCTAAGAAAAATTGAACAAAGTATATTCAGAACCAGATGAAGATAGACAAACACATGGAGGTATGGTTAGCACCAATGCAACAATCAGCCAAATTACCTGAGTGGAAAGGTAGGTAAATTCACAGTCTTCAATAAACTCACATAAATGAAGCAACCCACTTTCCTTTGCATCGGGGATATCTCTGATAAGGATCACAATCGAATCCACAATGGCTTTCTTATACTCAAATCCACCTTCTTCCCTCAAAATGTTGCTTAAGAAGTTCATCCTTAATAAAAGAAACATGGTCCATTAGTATCTCAGAGTAAGTTTACAAAATAGGCAATGGTTTTGTTTACTATTCAGAGAAGTGGATACCAAAGAACACTGCACAAGTAAGGAGAAATAGGTTACTTACAGTGCTCTGTATTTCAGAGGAAACTTCAAGCACAGAGACCTTATGGCTTCCACTACCACAATCTTAAACTCATCAGCAATATCGGACATGAAATTTGTTATCTGCTTCATCAAACGATCTACACTTGACTCATTTCCTGTCTTTAGCAACGTGGTGATGGCAAGTGTGGCAATACTTCTGTTCTGATCGGAAATTAAACTCTCCATATCTATGTTGCAGTTGGTAACAGCCATTGGATGGGTCATTGCAACCTGTAAAATACAAGTAATTGTAAATGAAGTAGATCAAGACATCCAACCATATAAAAAACAATCCGTAACACATCTACTGTCAAATAAATTTCATCAGTAATTGATAAAATTTCAGTGACTAAAGGGGCAAACCAAGAGCCATGCTTCTTGTGCAAGTTTTCACTAAGACAGAAACATTATAAGAACACATTTTGACCCACGAGACTGCAGTGCAAAGAAAAGTAGCTTATAGGAACATCAACCTTGTTCAAGGTGCGGACAGCAGCGAAACGCAACACTGGCTTGGAAGAGCTCAAAAAGAGCTGGAGCACAGTAATTGCTGGAGTCAGTTCTCGACTCGTCACACCACTTAACTCTGTGATAGCTCTAGCAGCCTCAAAAATGACCATCTCTGCCTTATGACGAAGACAACCTTCAAGAAAATCATAGAACGGGCGATCTCCTTGTGAGTTAGAAGCAGACTCACGGATGACCTGCAAAACCATACCAATATTACAGCTGAACCCAGAGATTGCTAACTACAATTGATACATGTTTCATAAGAGGCAAACCTGACTAGTATAACGTATCAAAAGGCATTGAGCGAGTGGTGAACGAACAGTTCCCCTGGTCAAACTAGTAACCAATTTGCTAACAGCTAGTCGATCATTTTGTCGTATCTGCATATTTCATAACCAAGAATAGTCCATGTCATTTCATCATAATCAAAAGCATTGAACACTTTATTTTATCCACGCCATCATGGCAGAATTTATAGAACTGATTTCATTTTAGTACAAGCCAATGCATCATCCAGAAAGTTGAGAATAAAATCCAACACCAAGCTTGCAATCTGCATACCTGATGGAGCAGAGCCAGAGCATGAAACTGTACAAGGGCAGCCCTTGACTGTACTGCCTCTTGAACTTCATTACTCCACCTTTTCACTACCTCTGGATTTGTCTATCAGAAAGGAAGACACACATCAAGCGAATCAGAAAGAGAGATGATTCACAAGAAAAAATGATCTCTACGTAGAAAATTCATCAGCACCTGAAGCAAATGGATACCACTGACTAGAGCAGCACTAGCAACTACTGGATTCTTGTCAACAATAGCTTGCTTCAGATAACGCTCAATCTGAGTCAGCAGAACTCCATCTGTTATCCGACAAAGCACGCGAATGGCATTCGCCCGGTACATATCGGTCTTGCTATTCATGTCCTTCATAAGGGAACTTGTCACAATGATAACCTATTCCCAACAAAAGGTAGAGCCAGTCAGCATCTGTTTTTGAAAGAAATAATAGGAGAAGGAGGTGAAGCACAGAAGCTGGTAGCTCAAGCTAGAATATACAACCTCATCAGCTGAAGGAGATAATTCCTTTATCATTAAATAGAGCATCCTTCTTAACCCAACATCTCTTGACTGAAATAGCTTCGTTACAGCAAAGAAAACTTCGGTGGCTTCAACCTGTAAGGATATTGCAAGAATAGTTTAGGCAAGGCACGTTATTAATGTAAAAATCAAGCACTAAATTACTGCATGGAAAAAGCTTAACCTTAGTGAAAGTTTCCCCTTGGTTAAGTAGATAAAGGAGCTTTGTGATGACCTATCATCAAAGCAAGAAAGCAATTAAAAATAGATCCATTAATATTCCTGAAAGACAAGTTATCTAATAGAGAAAGCAAAGCACAAGTCAAAAACCTGAGAGCATCTTCTTGGATCCAGCTGAGGATCATTGAAAACCCTAGCTTCCTGAAGAACGGCACCCTTCTCGATTCCCATGAAGGGAGAGTATTCCGCTGTTGAGTCCAGAAAACACAAAACGTTACTATTTCCCTTACAAAGCCAGAAGATCTTTAATCCCAATCACTCCAAAACTAATGATAAAAGAGAACACACTACATTTCCTTGAAATTAAAACACAACTCCTACAGTCCTACAACTGGTAGTAATTCTAATTACCATCGCAGATAGCTCACAGCAGAAATTAAATGATCATAAGACACTAACCCTATCAAAAACGACTGCCAAGAGTCAGATCCAGCAGATTCATTTCCAACATCAATGCAAACAGTTGGCATTGCATCAACCAAATTCAACCCGATTCACACAACAAGGTTATCCGCATTGCCAGTGAGGGATCACAAGTCAAGCTCCGTTATCGCTAAATTCGCTTCAACTCAATTGCACAGTTCAACAGGCAACCAGATCCAACTGCAAACAAGAAAAGCGCAGAAGGAAGCTAGAAGCCAACCACGCTCTAAACTCTAAAGCGCCTCACTCCAGACGCCGCCAATCGGATTTCTCGAAATTGAACCAGATCTATACATATAACCATTCATCTAATGATGCTGACCTAAGATCTGAAGACCAACGTTCAAATTTGCGATTCGACAGCCATTAACCAGAATTGCTGATTCGAGCACACAGGATACAAATCGGCGAACACGAGGAGCCACTAGACAGGATAATTGGAGGAGGAAGGAAGCGAAGAGGGAGGGAAGGAGTGTACCTTCGTCGTCGCGATCATCGTCTTTCTTCACGAGGGGCTGAGCCATGGCTTCCGAGCCTTCGAGATCTCTACTGCACAATGTTTTTCGGCTGAATGGGATGAAAACAGAAAGTAGAGAACCTCTTTCTATCAGCGGAAACGAAATTACGAAGACGGGGATCCCCTCTGTGTGAAGCGTTTTTAAGAAGTGAGCAAATGAAAATTAATTTGGAAATAAAATAAAATCCAAGATCCTCTGTGGTCGAGCTTACATGTTTCTTTTAGGTGATGTCGTTTGAGCCACTGATTTGTTTTTTTATCAATAGCTCACTTGCATTAATCAAGGGCAAAATACAGTTGTATATCCACAACAATCAGACTTGTGACATATATATTCACAACTATTAAAATACATGAAATATTCATTTATGTCCACTCTTTTAATTCTGTTAGTTAACTTGATGACTGGATAGACGGTGGATGTTTAGTTGGCGTGTTTCTGACCCCACTGAATGACGTGAATTAAAAGAGAAAAATAAAAATAAATGACACGTAGATTACACATCATATATACTTAAAAATATTTAATAATAAAATATTAAAGAATTACAAAAAAAACTTTGCTAGGGAGACTCTTTGCCTTCCCCTAACCCCCTCTGTCCACTTCCACCTCCGCCCTTCACCTTTCTGGCGAGACACTTCGTCCTCCCCCAACCTCCTCAGCCCACTTCCACCTCCGTCCTTCCTCACACCTCTGCCCTTCACCTTGCTGGCGAGATAGTACTTCGCCTTCCCCCAACCCCCTCCACCCTTCCTCCCACCTTCGTCCTTCACCTTGATGGCCTCCTCCGTCGCCGATGCTCCTGACAAGTGATTCGGTGGAGGACTCCCGACAATTGAAAACTAAATCAAAATTATAGAATACCATAAACCCAATTGAATTTATGTGGCTGGAGAAAGAAGAGAGTGGAGATCTGTCGTTAATCGGGAATTCGTCGCAGCTGCTCGCCGCCAACGATGCATTTGTCGTTGCCGGGTCTTCATCGCTATTGTCTTCCAGCCATCAAAGCTCGGCGCCTCCGTACCGCTAGATCCCCATGGACACGCTGTGTTCGCGGCGCCGCTGCGCCTCGTCGTCTTATTCCCTATCGCTTCCGCCTGTTATGTTCTTTGAGGAGAGAAAGGAGGGTTCGAGAAGTTGGGGGAAGCCGACGATCTCAGTTCCAGATTTGGAGGTGGAAAGGCGACGAGAGAAGCAGTGAACGAAATTTTGGGCGACCAGAACGAAAGTTGGGGGAAGCCAGCGATCTTAGTTCCAGATTTGGGGAGGAGGAGAAGATGAATGTTCGGAGATGGAGAAAGAAGCGGCCATGGCGGAATTAGATTTAGTTGGGAGAGAGTGAAGCGGAGAACGAGGCAGACATATTCCTTTTTTTTTTGTTCAACTAGCCTATTTGGCATCTACGTGTAAAGTTTGGTTGCTTTTTGGCTTATGTGGCAGGTGAGATAGCATCGATTCAGCATTCCGTTAGTCAATTTAACGTCGTCTGACACGTCATTATAGTTTCAAACGGAAGTGGATAGATTTGTCACACAACCTTCCGATTTTTGGATATTTCGTGTATTTCAATAGTTGTGGATATATTTGTCACGAACCTGATAGTTGTGGATATACAGCTGTATTTTGCCTTAATCTAGAAATAAAGATAGAATGTTCAAACCACATACCTCACCCAAGAGCGAAAATCAAACCCCAAAATACCAGCATGAAACAACGATAGAGCCTTTTTAGCCACCAAATAGGCCATCTGATTACGCTCCCTACCAACAAAACACACATGAACCAAATGAAAAGCTCTCTTCAGCTGTAGAACCTCGCCCAAAATAACACCTCCCGCGCGTCATGGCTCAAAGACCCTGTAATCCTGTCAATAACAACCATTGCATCCCCGCTAAACTCCATATATGAAAATACCTTTGAAGACGTCCACCGCATTGCATCCCTCAATGCGAGCAACTTCATCAGGAACGGATCCGTCGGACATGCATAAAAAAAACATTGTGCCAATAAAAGATCCCCCGAGCCATCCACTACCACCACCCCCGCAGCGCCAAGTGAATTCGAGCACACCGCACCTCCACATAACAAACCCATGGCAAACTGACACCACTATCCCCAACCTGCTCGAGTCCGACACCCACACCTAAGCCACCTGGAGGTCCAGGGACTCGACCAAGCCCCTCTCATTCCGCCACCTGGCCATGAAACTGACGCAGCAACATGAAATTCGTGCATTGAAAATGATCAAACGTCACCCAATTTCTAGACTTCCAAATAAGCCAAAGAAGTGCCACCACTCGAAGAACTGTAGTCGTCGACCCATCCCTAGTCACTCCCAAGGACTCGACCTAGCCCCTCCCATTTCGCCACCTGGCCATGAAATTGACGCAGCAACACTGAATTCATGTATTGAAAATGATCAAACGCCTCTCAATTTCTAGACTTCCAAATACGCCAAAGAAGTGCCACCACTCGAAGAACTGTAGTCGTCGGCCCATCCCTAGCCACTATAGCTTTAAAAAAAAGGATGCCACATTCCCCACTGGTAACCCCTCCCACAAGGCCATCAATCCCGAGTCACGCCACAACCCTAATGCAACCGAACACTGCAAGAATAAATGCTCCATAGACTCCAACTTAGCCCAACAAATCGGGCAATGCATATTACAATTAACACCCTTGTCCTGCAGAGCTTCCATTGTCGGCAAAATTTGTCTAAGGAATTGCCACACAAAAAATTGCAATTTCGGAGGGATATCAAAATGCTAAACATAGTTCCAAAACCCCGAATCAAACCAAGACACCTCTGCATGGCACCTAACAGTCCTACGACTACCCTCCGACGCTACTTTATACCTTGATTTCGCTGTATAGCACCCCGATTCCTCCTCATACCAAACCACTCTATCTGGCAAAGAAGATCGTGGCAGTGGAGTCATTAAAATGTGACTAACCATGTCCCCCGGAAAACATGCACGTAGACAATCCTGACACCACTCACCGGTCGTGCCATCAATTAAGCTATCCATCGTCTGGGTCGGAGCTACTTGCGCAGTCGACAGGAGAGAGAGACTTGATGCAGTTGCATTCCAGGCACCCAAACATCTTCGCATATCCTAATATCAATGTCACTCCCCACCTGCCACCGCAATCCCAGCACCAGCAAATGCCTACCCTCCAAAATCCCTTGCCACCCCCACGAGGGGCGAGATCTCTACGTGACACTAAAAAAAATTAAAATGGGGGGAATATTCACTACAACAAATTCGGCTTATTTTGACGATAGGTTTTTGTCATATTAGACCTATGTTTTGTCAAATTAGGTTTATTATGACAAATGACGTTGTCATAACGCATTGCCATTTAATCTCCGTCAGGATAGGTCAAATGTGACAAATTTTTGAAATATAGTTGTCACATTTGCTGTATGATATTGCGACATATTCTTGTGTCAATAAATGGTAATAAAGTGATGAATAGTTTTGTCACAATAAGGGTGTGGTTTGTCACATTTGGACTTTGGTTTGTCAGTTTAGCTCATGTTCTAATTAGTCTATTGTGATAAACAGGGATTTTATGACGAAATATTTTGTCATAATTTGTTGATTTTGTCATAATTGTTATTCATATTATACGACGAATATATTTTGTCATTACTGCATATCATGATGAGTTTAGTTTGTCGTAGAAGGTGCTGAATGTGCCTCTTGTCAAATACGGCTCTTGCCATATTTGTTAGGTAATGTACAATAAAGTGATGAATTGATTTTGACTTTACATGTGAACTGATACAAGAATGATATAATTCGAAATGAAACCTGCATTGCATTAATAGATAAGCATCCCAACAGAGTACTAACCAAACGCCCAAAATATTACAACCATTCCAAGCATTCTAACACCTTGTTCACCATAACACAAAATCAAGTCGGGTTCCTCCTGTTTTTCCGTCGCCGATGGCTCTCGTTTTCCTACAACAAAGATGAGAAGCAAATTGTTATTAAAAAAAACATAACCGAAGGAAGAAAAGAAAACTAAAACTCAATACTTTCTGAAGCTTAGCTCTGACCATTTAAGATATCCAAAATACAACACACTTGAAGACAACTAATGTTGCCATGTAAAAGAATCTAGAATCAAAGATTAACGATAAGATTCAGATTGACCCTGAATTCTAAAGTTTCCCCCACATAATTTTAACCTTCGAACTTAAATAGAATGGATAGCATTCTTTTGTTTGTGATTTTAGCTGCAGTAACAAAAAGGGGGGAAACTTGAGAAGATGAAAAGGAAAGAGGAAAAAAGTAACAATGAAAACAATTAATTAAGAGCATCATGGCATATGTGACTAGTACCAATTCTTCTTCAATCATTGTTCAAGTTTACGCAAAGCAAAGCAATCCCACTGCCTAAATGGGTAGTGACTAGTGAGTGCTGCATAGACCAACAAGAAAAAGTGCAGAGTACTGCTCAAGTGTTCAGGAAAAGCAATTGAACAGAATATAGGGAATGATACATTTTGAAACAAACACAACCTTTTAACATTTCGAAAGGGCAACTCCTGGTTCAAGACAAACAAGATCAACTTATATGCTGACTTCTACTGGGAACAAAATCAACGAGCGAGTAAATACCTACGGGGGGGACTTTTAGAAGGGAGCTTCAAGTTATTCATCCCACACATCTCCACTTCCATTTGACGCATCTTCTGCATCGTCCAAATGGGTAGTGACTAGTGAGTGCTGCATATACCAAAAAGAAAAAGTGTAGAGTACTTCTCAAGTGATTCATCCCATACATCTCCTGCAGCAATGTACTATACTCGTTTCATCAACTTCATTGGCTTAACCATAAATGCAGACCGATATCCTTAATCAAGCATAACAAAACTCATCCAAATGAGATAAGCAACAGATTGATATAAACTACAAAACGATAATTCCTCACGGACAGAGATTTTTCTTACCAGCAAATCCATGGGAAGAGACTCCAGCCTCGACTCAGATTCGCAATCTTCAACACGAGGTGTCCTAGGTTTCCTCTCGAAGCGATTCTGTTTAAACAAATTCACGGGGGAGAGTAACAATGGACAATTGCCATGAGCAGTTACCTTATTCTCCATAACAAGATTGTCAACGACATCTGTCTTCTCGATGCCAAACACAACAACCCTCTTTCTTCCGAGATTGATACATGAAAATGTCACCGAGGATTTGATGTATCGCAGCTGAGCAAGAGCTTCGGGTTTCAGGTACCTGCTACTTGAACTCTGCAGCCGCCTCTGACGTCTTGGGGTGTTAGAGTCCCCTTTGGGGAAACTTTTCCCCATGTCTCCGCCTTCCTAGTCTAGGGTTTCTGGCCAAAGGTTCATCTAATTCTTGATCAACTAACATCGAGAAACCCCTAATTAAGTTGCAAAAGAATTAGCTGCCACTGGTTTCATTTGACGACAACAAGAACGGGTAGAAAGTCGATACCAGAGAAGAAGCCCGAAAGGAGAAAGATTAAACAAAAGAAATGAAGCTAGAGAGAGTATAAGGATTGGTTACCTCGTAGTCCTCTATGCATTGAGATTTGCTTTGTTTGCCGTAGAGACCCACTTGTTCTTTAAACGATCAATCAAGATGAATAAAGCTCCATATGAGAAATCTAACTTCAAATAGAAATATGGTAGAAAATCACCAAAGGCGAAGGAAAATACGCGAGAATATCACCAGAACGCTCATGTTAGTTGTTACCCTAACTGTCAGAGCTGGATGACGAAACATGAGGCGGATTGCGTCGTCTGTAGGCAAAATCTTTAGAGCTAGTTCCCGACGACAGAGGAGACTGTGCTCTTCTTTCGATGTTGTGATGATAGGGACTATGGTCTTTGTCCTGCATATGCAACCCATTCCCTCAGATCTAATCCCTCACCCAGTTGATGTCCTTCGTCGTGGCCGATACCCTCTCCTCAACATAGCCATTGGCGGCGCGGAGGGTGGAGAAGGGGGGAGGTGGGGGAAAGTGCAAGAATAGGGGGCTGAGAGGGAAGAAGCGAGGAAAAACAGAATGATAGTTGCAATGGAAACGGCGAAAACGAGCGAGGAAACTCTTGTGTCTCTTACATCCCGATATGGGATGCCTATTTTGACAAATTTAATTGTGACGCGAAATATTTGTCACATTATTCATTTTAAATGACGAACTATTTTGACAACAAGAAATTTGTCACTGTTGAGTCTCTTACATCCGATATGGGACGCCTATTTTGACAAAATTAATTGTGACACGAAATATTTGTCACATTACTCACTTTAAACGACGACTTATTCTGACAATAATTTTTTTGTCACATTAGGCATACCAAATATGATATATATTATTTTTGTCATATCACCATACCTATTGTGACAAACAAAAAATGACAAAATGAAATTTTTGTCCTAATAGACCGAATTTGTTGTAGTGATTTTCCTTTTAGGACCCGAGCTAGCAAAGAACCCCGCTCCATATGCAACCACCACCCTATCTTGGCCAACAGAGCTCTATTCATTAGCTCAAATGTCCTAAAACCCATATCACCATCATGCTTACTTCGAGCCAAGTTTAGCCAGGACACCAACGCTATCTTAACCCCTGTCGGATTACTACCCCACCAAAACCGTTTCATATGTCTATCCAGTTTCCTGCACAACCCCCGTGGGAGTTGAAAACAGGACATCGCATAACTTGGCAGCGCAGAAGCCACCGCTTTAGTAGTGTCTCCTTAGTAGCCCAGGATAAGTGGCGCTGCTTCCATCCTTGCAATCGTGCCAAGATTCGTTCCTCAAGGAATCCAAAAGTCTCCTTCTTGGAACGATGCACCAAAGTTGGGACTTGGGAGTCCAAAATATTTATCATAAACCCCCACCACCCCTACTCTTAGAATCGATGGCATTTGCTGCTGATCTTCCACCAAGACATTCTTACTAAACAAACAACAGACTTCTCTAAGTTCACTTTCTGGCTATTCAACAGCTAGTACTCCATCAGTACTCCCACTAAATTCACGCATTCCTGAGGTGACACCTTCATAAACAGGTACGAGTCATCTGCAAAAAAACATATGAGAAATATTTTGACTTTGCGGACTAACCTTAACCCCTGAAAATCTCCTAGCATCAATAGCCTGGCGCAAGAGGGTCGAGAATCCCTTAGTACGCATTGCAAACAAAAGAGGGGATAGCCAGATTGGGGATCCCCCTATCTGAGTCCACGCGTTGCTCGAAAGTAACCAGACGCTTTCTATTCATCAAGACCGCGAAAGACGTCGATGACACCATTTCCTTTATCGAATCAATCCATAGCACTAAATCCCAACTTCTCTAAGATGGCGAACAAGAAAGGCCGTTCAACCCGATCATATGCTTTTTCCATATCCACCTTTAAGGTCGTCCTTGTCACGCTTCCTAATCTTAAGATAGTGCATCATCTCATGCCCCATAAGAACATTATCTACAATCTGACGGCCTCTCACAAAACCATTATGCTCTGGAGAGATAATATGGCAGAAGTTTTGCCAGTCTTTCAACCATTATCTTAGAAATGATCTGAGCCACCATTTGACATAAATTTATTGGCCGAATTTGTTTCATTGATGTCATTAACTCTACCTTTGGAACTAAAGTGGCCAATGTATGATTAAATCTTTTAAGAAAGCGTCCACCGACAAAAAAAGACTGAACAACTTCAACCACCGAAGGACCAACAATATCCCAATAGGTTCTATAAAACTTGTCAGTAAACCCATCTGATCCAGCGCCTGCGTGGCCCAATAGAGAACACTACTCTCCTAATCTCCTCTTCCATGATTGGGGTTGTTAGAACCGCATTATCCTGAGCTAAAACCTTACTCTCAATCGGCAAGGCCATCACACGCTCCCTTACATTTGAAATCTGGCATTCGGACAGAAATAAGGACTCGCAAAATCCCACTGCAATGGAAGCTTTCCCTGCATCATCCGTAATCCACTCACATGTCAAATCACAGAGTCTCTCAATATTATTTCGCCTATTCCGTCCTCATCACATTATGGAAATAAGACGTATTATTATCCCCTTCTCGTAGCCAATGAACTCTCGATTTCTATCGCCAATATATCTCTTCTGCTGCCCATTGTCTAGACAACTCAGCCTCCAATCTACCAATGTACTCCCACTTCACAGGGTGCTCAAATTTCAAAGCCTCAATCTCATCCTGTAATGATAGAATATTCCAGACAGAGTTCCAGTACCAACTCGACTCCAATCGTATAAAAAGTGTCTAAGAATTTGAAACCAATAACACACAATGATTCGACCCCAAATCCGAACAATGTCGAACGAAGGATTGGGGAAATGACTCTAACCAAGAATTTGAAACCAAAACTCGGTCAAGCCTTTCGTGAATACCAGCACCGCCCCTACGACGATTCGTCTAAGTAAAGGGACTCTCACTATACCCCAAATCATGCAACCCCAAACGATCCATGCATTCTCGCAAGGCCAACGCTGAATCAAGACACCATGGGAGTCCCCCACTTTTTCATGCACCACACAAGACACAATTGTAATCTTCAACCATCACAAAAGGAACCATCAAGCCATCACAAAAAGAAATCAACTCACGAGCTTGCTGCAAACGCTTAGCACTACAGCAAGACAAGTACACACCAACAACCACATACTGCAAATCACCATTCTCATTTAAAATCCCACATGCAATAAAAAAAAGAATAAGAAGCTAACGCAATTACATTCATGCCAGGAGATCAACCCAAAATTAAACCCCCCGCTGAATCAACCGCATCAACTAAAAAGAAATATTCAAATCCTAACCCCGACAAACGCCAAGTAACTACTCTCCTAGATGATCTAGTTTCTGAAAGAAGCAAGAGCTCTGGATTATTAGTCCTACATAGGCCTAACAAAGCACGAAATGTAAGGGACGGCTCTATGTCCCTCACATTCCAAGAAACTAATCTCATTTATCAATTTGGGCCCCGTCATAGTCGGCTGCCTCCACTACTTTGCCACCACCTTTATCATCACCCGCGACCCTGCCTTGTTGTCAATCTTCATAGGATCATATGGCAGGGGCGTAGCATCCCCACTCCCATCCTTCCCAATTTCCATTCTACCCTTCTTCAGTTTCGTTGGATCGGTAGGCAGACCATCCACCACTGTCGCTGCTCTTTTCCTCACCTCAGCATCATCCAGCTCCGAAGCAGCCATCTTAAAAGCCTTCTTACCCTCTGATTGAACTTGGTTCAACTACTTCTGCATTTTGACAGGACCAGTCTCAGCAACCTCCACTATAGAAGACCCCTTCTGAATATTTATACATGCATCTCTAGCTTTGGTTTCCCCCGCTTCAGCATTACCATAGCTCTGTCGCACTGCCTTTTCATGCCTTGCTTCGAACTTCTGAATCCCAGCAGCCACTTGTCCTCTTCCACGCCCCCAAGTTTGGGCTTTCGCCCCAGTACAAGCCATGAAGTGTCGACCTCTGCCACCACCTGCATTGGCTTGCAATTTATGGTGAAAGACAGCATCCGGACCAGAACCACCCGAGCCAGAACCATATTCTGCACCACCACGGATCCCTCCCTTATGTTTAACATTCTTGGCAAACTCTAATGGACGCTCTTGAGAACCAGGCATCAGAAGCTCTAACTCATTATTCTTCCCTTGTTTTGTAGGTAGCCCCAAGACTATGGGACTAAGTGACTCCCCACCAGCAGCATTTACCTTTGCACCACCTGTATCTAAATCATCTATCTTCTTGTCTCCCTGCAAATCAGGATTCACCCACACAGAGTTTTGCATTGGGTTAATCCACACCCTCTCCTCCACTCAACGTCCAGTAACATTAGTCAACAGTTCAGGCCCCTAGTGCTCCAACCCCATTGGATCCGGGAAGTGGAAGTGCTTCCCCATATGCCCTAGCCTCCCACAGTGATAATAATAAAGCGGGAGGAACTCATAGACTAAAGTAAACCAAAATTCTCCCACCATTGGAATACTTGCAAACAGTTGAGAGCGAAGTGGTTCCAGGATATTGATCTTGGTCTTCGCCTTAATAAAATGGTTAGGGTTACCTTTCACTGCAAAGGACCCAACATCAAGCATTTCACCCAGCTTAGCCTCTGCCATCCATCTCCTGAATGCACTCGTACGACAATGGGTAGGAATAGGGCTGGAAGTTTGGTACCATTATTTGGGATATACCGAATACCGCACCGAATTTGTCTATATTTGGTATTAACGAATACACGTATTATTTCTTGGGATTGGAATTGGGATTGAATTTCAATTGTTATTCGGTATTAGGGATTACAGGATTGGGATCGGTATATACCGAAATACCGATCAATACCGAAATATAAGCTAGTGTGTATTTTATCCTCTCAACTAGACTATCTCATTCACTACTACACGACCCTCAACCACCAAGAGTGTCATTTAATTATACATATATCATTCCATCACTATTAATAGTCGTCTCTCAACCTCCAATTCGTCAAATTAACGATTACCAATGATAAGAACTTGAGATGTCTCCTCTCCTCCATTCTCCTTAATAACATCCTAATTCAAGACTCTTTGCTTGGTCTTTTTTCCCTAAATTAAACAATAAAATCTAATTTATATATTTAATTATTAATTGCAAAGGTAATTAATTTTCTATTCGATTATACCGATTGGGATACCGAAGTACCGATTGGGATACCGAAACATTTAGGGATTGGGATTGGGATTGACTTTAGGGTGTAATTCGGCATTCGGGTTTTCGGTATTTGGTATTGGGATACCGATACCGTACTGATTTCCACCCCTAGGTAGGAATACCCCACATCTAAACCCAAAAGGAACATGAATGAAGGAATCAACTACCTCTTGTGTGATCGGTTGCCAATGTTGTAGGTGCAGGACATGGTCCTTGATTGGCCACGGAGACCGTTGGAGAACCCAGTTCATGTACCCTTCCGATCCAAAGAAAAACTTAATCAGCCCCATCTCAGCCTCCAAGACCTTCACCTTTGGGGCACACTCCCATGCTCCATTCACTATCTTCTGCAACAAAGTCAGGGACAGAGGATTGTCCATGAACAACCTCCCCAGCAGACTTAGATGAGCCCATTTCATTACCGATTCAATGTCCTCAATAGCGGATTCCACCACCAGTTCAACAACCATCGCTTTCCTGTCAACCTCCATCTTGAAAAGTCACTAGAACACCCAGTTAATGACACACAAGGTTATAATCGCACCCAAATATGGGAAGATCCACATTCTAAAAGGATAATTGAACTGACCCAAATACGGGTTACAATACCTAGTGATTTTCTCCTGGGACTGAGAATCAAGAAGGTCTTCTTTTCGCTCTAACTTTGCCCTTGTTTGATTGGAAACTCTATAGACGTTGCCTTGCCCGATTCAATCTCTACATAGAACTCGTCCAGCGCTATCCGTCACTTAAATACAATTGGGACTCTCGTTTTGAGATTATCCCACTGGAAATTCTGTGGACGTTGCCTTGCCCGGTTCAATCTCTACATAGATCCCATCCAACGCTATCCGCCACTTCAAATCCAATAGGGACTCTCGATTCGAGATTATCCCACCTAATTCCTTCACTTTTTCATTGGATAAAACCAATCCACAGGGCCATTTGCCCTCAGCAATCCATCTATCATATCCCCTCATGAGGATCCGCCTCGACCAGGACTCAAACCAGTCCTTGATTTGGCTTGAAGTAACTCAATCAGCCTTCCATGGCCATCTCCTTCACGTCGTACTCTCTATGGTTTCTACCATCGAAACCCTAATGGAGAGGGCTAGAAGGAAGATTTCGCCAAGCTTCACGAGGAGAGAGGAGAGAGCATTCCAAAACGTTTTTTATTTATTTCGAGATTGTCAGTGAGCCACTAATCTTCAACAAGTTGCTTTATTGATAGAAACCCAAATTTCTTGTTGGTCCCAATGACGAGAGGGATGAGCCATTAGGTGGGTTGCTTTATTGCTAACCCAACCCGAGCAATAAAAAATAAAGAGCTCAAGCCCTTAGCGAAATCCTAGAGCCAAGCACACGCATCATATGCCATCGTCTTTGTCATTTCCTCCCTTAGCATATATTGAATTTCCATATGGGTATCAGACTCCACCTCCACCAATTGGAAGCCAAACTCCTCTGTTGTCTTCAACCCAAACCAGATCACATAAATCTCTGCTAAGAGCAGTGCCCATTGAACTATGGTACGCCTCACTGCTGCCATGAAATATTGATTGGCCTTATCCCTCACTACAACACCAAACCCAGTTATCTGTCCTTCAAAACAAGTTGCATTAACATTAGTTTTGAAATCCATAGTCTCCAATTGCTTCCAATGGTATTGTTGCTTCATTACATGCATCGAGATCATTTGTTGATGTTCCATTCCAGCTATTCATGTAACCATTTCTCTGCTCTGTCCATGCTTCCCACTCTTCTCTCTTGTTTTTGTTTCATACAATTCCTTTTCCTCCCAAGTGAACTAGAGAGACATTAAAAACAATCCGATTTGTTCATCCGATGATGACTCCTATAACAAAACTATCCATTCTTCACGGTTATACTCTTCCCCTTTCTCAAAAAATTATTGTAAAGAACTCGGTCAACAAATCCATTTAGTCCATCCATAGTAGAATAAAATATGAATCTCAGCCTCTTGTAGGCCACATAAAGGGCATTCATCACCCTTTTCGTACCCGATTAACAATATTGGCTCTTGTATGTAGGACATTTCAAATTGACTTCCTGGAAAAAACCTTCACCTATGAGCGATTTGTAGGCCCCATTTTTGCTTCCAATCAATGGGTGTGTATAATTCACCAATATCCTTTTCCTTCCTCTATCTCCATGGATGATAAAAAGATGTCATTGAGTAATTGCCAGTTTTTTCATAACTCCAAATCTTGTGTCTTCACATAGTTGTTATGGGATAGGAATTTGCATGATTCTCTATCTATTCCAAGGGAATTTGTAGAGAGCTATATTCCAAGGTTTGGTAGAGACATCCAAAAACTCATTGACTGACGTCGTTGAACCCAACTGGGTAGTAGGCTATTGAACTTTGAAATTATCAGCAACAAGTATACCCATTTTCAACCAAATACCAATCTCATTCCTGTTGACAACCTTCCACCTTATTCCATTTTAAACTATTACCTTAGCTGCAAGCAAGTTTCTCCACAGGTAAGTTGGGTTGTGACCTCCTTTTGCCTCAAGTATATACCTCGTGGGACAATACTTTGCTTTGAAAACCCTAACCGCTAGGGATTGGAAATTTTGAATAAGATTCCACACATGTTTCCAAAGCAGATTAATATTAAACTCATTTAAGTTACGAAATCCCATTCAACCCTTAATCTTTGTTCTATAGAGTTCCGTCTAGCTTAACATGTGAGTTCGTCTTTCCCCATTTTGTTGTCCCCATCGGAAACTGGATAGGCTTTTTTATATCCTTAATCACCCTCATTGGTACAATGAAAACTTGTATTGCATATGTCATTTGCGCCTAAGCAATTGCCTTTATAAGAGTATGCTTGTTTGATTAGGATATAAGTTTTCTTTTCCATAACTTAACTTTCTTTCTCTCTCTTTTTTGTAGAAAGATAGACTCTATTGCGTATTAGCTCGTATTTCTAATAAATCGGTGTTCGGAAACACCCATAGTATCGTACATGATCCAAGTTGGAGCCCTGATTCGCTTACATCAAAGAGATGTGAGCCAAAATCCACAAAATGACCCTTGCTGGCAAGATAGTCAACATCAAAATTCCATTCGCTAAATACATGGGAAATAACAACCTGCCAATCTGAATTAAGCAGTGTCCTAATCTGTTAAGCCAGTAGCACATGCCTGTGGCTACTATCCGAGCTATTTTTATGATGTCTAAAGCATTGGTAGAATCCAACGGGATGAGTTAGTGTGGTTACTTAATGTTTAGTAATCACGGTGGCTACCTTAATCTACACCATTCATTATTTCTTTTTCACCCTAATTTTAAATTAACGATGAAGATTATATTAGGGTAATTTTGGAATTGAAAAATATACCACACCTGATTACTCTATAAATTATATTCAAACCCTACCCTACTGCAACCCGCCGCCAACCACCAAGCTCCCTCCCCCGTTACCTCCCGGCGTCCATCCTCCCTCCCGAGAACCCCCTCCACCGCCGGCCGGCCTTCCCTCCACCGCCCTCTCTCTCTCCCTCTCTCTCCCAGAAGCTTTAGCACCATCAATGGACGCTCGCGTCCTAGATCGGGACCTCCCCGACGACGACGATTCCCCCGGTACTTTCGAATCTTCCTCCGACGTTGCAGACGGCCGAGCTGGACAAGGCAATTCAATATGGGACGCTCTCCAATTCAATGGAAAATCCCCCCCCCCCCCCCCCCGCCAATTCAATGGACAATTCCCCCGCCAATTCGCTTGACGATTCCGCTGCCAATTCAATGGATGCTCGTGTTCCAGATCGGGACCGCCCCGACGACGACGATTCCCCCGCCACTTCAGAATCTTCCTCTGACGTTGCTGATGGCGGCGTTGGACAAGGCAATTCAATATGCTGCATCCCAGAATCTTCTTTGGTAGTGTGTGCATTACGCTTTGGTAGTTACCTGCATTTGTGTTAGTTAGATGGAGCATTATGTTTTGGTAGTTATTTGCATTTGGTTTGGTAGTGTTTGCATTATGCTTGGTAGTTTCTCTGTATTTGTTTTGGTAGTGTTTGTATTGATTTATTTATGCAATGGTATTGTTTTGATTTCACAGTAATAGTGGTATTGGTTGTTTTGGTATTTGTTTGACTTTGGTAATGGTATAGATTGTTTATATTGGTAGTTTTCGTGTAATGGTATAGATTTATTTCTGCAATGGTATTGATGTTTTTCAAAATGGTAGTGGTTGTCTAATGGATTGGTTGTGATTTCGTGTTTTTTCTTTTGCAGAAAGATTGAGAAAAATATGAAAAGGAGATCTGGCTGGAGATTACGGAAGTGAGAGAAAAAGAAAGAATTGTAATTAATAGATTTTTGTAACTACCTAAAATGTAATTTATTAAAATTAATTAATTAATATACTTTATTTTTTCATCCCCAATTTACCCTTAGTAACCACGGTGATTACTACTTTTATAGTGATAACCGTAACCACTCCCAGAATCCAACTTAAGCTAGACACGTCAAAAGCCCTTGTTCCATGCCAACTTGAGCCTTCTTCGACACCTTTCAATTTCGCAACTGTGATTGAGCATAGTCCCAAGTTGCAGGTGAAAGCTCCCAGATAGTGTCCGAGATGGTTCCGGAGAAGACCTTCTGCAACTGCTTTTCCTTAGGGAGAGAGGACAAACCTAGGCGGAGGTGTCCAAGCATTTTGTCCTTCAGTTCTGGTAGGTGGAGCTTTTCCGAAGTAGATATGTTCTCTCTTTTTTGCCTGCACCAAAATGTTGAGCCAGACGTTAATCTTTTCGACAAGTCCTCTCTCTAAGTAGATGATCTCATCCATCTCTTCTTCGTTATGCTGCTTTCACAACAGCCAACAGATCACACCAAAGGCCACCCCTTCCTTTCCCTTGAGGTTTTTTCTCACCCACGTCTTCATTGTAGCTGTGTGCCTCGCATCGTCGAGCTTGCATTGAAACACATTCAAAATCTTCTAGCTTTGTTGCACTCTCTAAGGATATCACTTATTGTCTCCTCCTCGTTTGGGCAATGTTTGCATCAAGAGTTTAGGGTCAGTTTTCGCTTCTGCCTTTCTTTGCTGGTGAGAATTTTGTCATGGAACACCAGCCAAAGGAAATGCTTGACTCTGCTGGGTCCTTTCCATCTCCATAGCTCTTTCCACTGAACGTCTACAGCCTCGTCCTCGATTTCATTTGCAGCTAGTTGGTATGCAAACTTTGGTCGGAATCTCCCATCTCTTTCAATTCCTCAAATCGTCATGTCTTCTCCAGCTCATTGCTTGGGTGGTTCCATACCTACAATAACTGAAAGAATTTCTCTGGGGGGGAGAGTCTTGAGACGATTCCAATCCCAGCTTCCTGTAGTCACGTCCACCCATTCTGCCACAGCTGAGTTGCTTTCTTCCTCAGAGATAATGTCGAAAGAAAACTCCTCCAGGATGATCCCATTGTCCAGCCAGGGGTGTTTCCAGAAATTTGTCGACTCCTCATCTTTCATGCTCCAACTGGTTGCACTTTGCATCATCGACATTGCTTTAAGGGTGGCCCGCCAGAGGTTGGAGTCATTACTTGTCTTCATAGCCATGATGTTGCCTTCCTTATGCTTAAAGTACTTTCCTTGCAGAACTTGCACCCAAAGATCAGAAGCTTTACTAAGCATATATATGTTGGACAAGTTTGATCATATAGGCCATGTTCAAGGCTCTCGCACTTCTAAGACCAAGCCCCCCCCCCCCTCCCCGTTTTTTGTTTTTTGTTTACATACTATTTCCCAATTTCCTTTTCCCAACATGAGAGCCCCGCACAAGACCTCTTATCTTACGATCAATCTCCTCACAGACAGACATGCAAAAAAAATTGGTTTGCATTACATAATTGGGAATGGTATTCAGGATAGCCCCGCAAGGGTAACACGACCTGCAAGAGACAAAGACTTTTCCTTCCACGATGAAAGCTTTTGGTCAATTCTTTCTAAAACATATATGTAAGTATGCTTGCTGACTCGACCATGAAGGACTGGAACTCCAAGGTGGCGTCCTACGTCAGGGGTGCTTTGGATTCCTAATCTATCACATATGACTTTCCTAGTCTCAGATTTGGTGTTTTTTGAGAAAAAAAAACCTTAAGACTTTTGCTTACTAATCAACTCTCCAGACGCTTTACAAAAGGATCCAAACAGTTTAAAACAACATCATCTTGGTTAGGACTGAAAATTTCTTTCTCACTCTATCCACAAGGTAGTTGAAAATTGTCTTCTTATGTCGTCTCACCATTGTCGGAAGCCCTAGATACTTAGCATGATAAGACATTAGGTCCAGCCAGCTCTTGTCCGAATGACACGTAAAAACTCAAAAGAAAACGGTTATCACCTCGTCTACTCCTAAAAAAAAAATTAGAATGCTAACGCTTTAATGTTGTGGTCTTCCTCTTTTCATATACATTACTTATCGAGTTATCCAAAGTCAAATTAATTCCCCCACCATCCTACAAATTCAACCCCATCAAGATTAGTTTCTTACGTTTACGTGTAGTTACCCATAAATGAAACAGTCAGACTAGTCAACTGTCGAAGTACAACCAAACAACTCTCTCCTGCTTTGTAGGAGAAAATTCCTCTACGTGGAGCTATTACCATGCAGAAAAACAAATGACCGAAAATTAGTAGTCTCTTCTCTTTCGCTTCGCAAAGATTGTGGATCTCAAAGTAGAAACTGATCAAACGTGTACGTACGTGTACGTACGTGTAAGTGAAAAGGAGAAGAAAATGTAAAAAAGAACACACACCCACGCACGCGAAAAAAAGATGCTCCCATTTCTCGAAGAGAAAACAATGCACCATGTAAACCTCAACACCGTCGCAATAAGAAAATAATAGCGTCGACTCGTCGCAAAAAAAAAAAAAGAAGCTCCGATGTCGAATACCACTGCCGCTGCTCCTGCTCCCACAACGACAGCATCATCGCCGCCACCTCCCGCAGCGACAGCTTCTCCTCCGCCACCTCAGCGGTCACCACCGCCCCCGACAGAGAAGCCAAAGCAGTCGCCTCCACCGGCAGCGACCAAACAACCACCCACGAAATCGCCAGCTTCGGGCAGGACACCCCCGCCGCCACTTCTAGACCCCAACGCCCAACCGTTCGTGTCGCCGCCTGCTCCTCCGGCCGATGTCCTCGCAGCTGCGCCGAGGCGGCCGCGGCCGCTCGGCCCGCCGCCGCGTCGGGAGAATGGAGGCGATAAGGGAGGAAGGTCGCAAGGGAATAATAATAATAATAACGTGGTCGCTATTGCTGTTGGTGTCGTTGTGGGAGTAGCGGCGATCCTTTTCATCGCCTTGGTCTTGTATTTTTGCTTCTGTAGAAAGAGGAAGCGGAAGGATGAGCTTGCTTACTATTCCTCCGCACCCCCTCCTCACAAAGGTAGATTAATTGTTACCTTTTACGATTATCAATCAATTATATTGCATTATTATTTGTGACTATCCTTTATTAATAGTTAGAGAAAGATCATGATCAAACAATGGATCCAACCATATGGATGTTAATAGCTAGGTTATATATATGATCATTCATTTTATGTGCCTTGGAATTGGCTATGATTTCTTAGAGACATTATATTTAACATTTATTTCAATTTAGATGTTTATTAGGTGAGGGTGACTAGCAATGAGAAATTTTACAATGCTATATAGTATTGGTGCTATAGGTTTTTGCCTTTATGGTACAACTTAAAATTGTACATTTATGTTATGGTACAATTTCAGATTGTACCTTTACTGTTTGTACAAATTCTTTTATGTTACAACTTGAACTTGTACCTTTATGTGATGGTACAACTTCAAGTTGTAAAATTGTACCATAACATAATGGTACAAATTCTTTTATGGTACAATCTAAACTTATACATTTCATGGTACAACTTTAAGTTGTACATTAAAGTACCAATACTATATAGCATAGTAGAAATGCTCGACTAGCAAGTCTGTTTAGATGAATGCTTGAAGCTTAATTACTAAGTATATTTGTTTGATTTAGATGTCAGCAATCAGTATCATGAACTTTCTTTTCGTAACATTGTAATTCGTAGTTATACGATGTACAAGATCGCGTTAACAGAATGACACCTACATATAATACAAAATAGGGTTTATATATAATATTTTTTTTCCAAGTTAGATGTTTAATAATTAACTAGAGAGTTTGTTATGATGAATGCTTAAAGTTTAATTACCAGCAGGAAAATCTTGTTTGATTACGATGATGTCAGTATCATGGATTTTTTTTTAAAAACATTGTAATTCATAATTATATAGCGAATAAGATTGCATAAGCGCGTCTGTTGGTCGCTTTCGTTCGTGCCACTTATAATATTCTATAAGCTTTGCCTCTTATGAAGTGTTGGGTTTCTTTTTGGATTGTGTGATTAATTAGGTGGGGGTTACTACATTGCTTCACCTAATCCAGGTAAGTGATCATGACAATTTCATTACACGTACATTTCCCCAAGACAGTACACTATATATAACTCTTATTATCATAGTTGCAATTAAACCTTAATTACGGAACAACAGGTATGATGGCCGGGTACTACGCCGCTTCCCCTCCACCACAAAGTTGGCAAGCAGGCAACAAAAACGACAAGAAACACGGACCAGACCACGGACAACAACAACAACAATACATGATGTCCCCGCCGCCCACCGGCGGCGGCAATCGCTGGCAGCAATCCCAAACACCACAGCAACAACCGCCACCCACCCGCCAGCAGGGCGCCACGTCATCGAGCGGCGAGTACAGCTCGTCCTTCTCCGCGGGCCCGCCCGCCCCGCCGCCGCCGCACCCGGGGCTGGCGCTGGGGCTCCACAACAGCAGCACGTTCAGCTACGAGGAGCTGCAGGCTGCGACCGACGGGTTCGCCCAGTCGAACCTGCTCGGCCAGGGCGGGTTCGGTTACGTCCACAAGGGAGTGCTGACCAGCGGGAAGGAAGTGGCGGTGAAGAGCTTGAAAGCCGGGAGCGGCCAAGGGGACAGGGAGTTTCAGGCCGAGGTTGAGATCATTACTAGGGTTCACCACCGCCATCTCGTGACGCTGGTGGGTTACAGCATTGCTAGAGACCAGAAGTTGTTGGTTTACGAGTTCGTGCCCAACTCCACGCTCGAGTTTCACCTTCACGGTATGGTAATCTGTTTATAGTTTTGATTTCACCGGCATGCAGACGTGGTGGCTAATATGGGTCGAGGCTGGCAGGTAAGAACCGGCCCACGATGGACTGGGCCACCCGCCTGAAGATCGCCATTGGATCCGCCAAGGGACTGGCCTACTTGCACGAGGACTGTAAGTCACTTTACCGAGAAGAAAACAAAATATATTTATCAATTGGAAAGAGTAAATAAACAATTATTATTATTAATAATAATTTGCAGGCCACCCACGTATTATCCATCGAGACATCAAAGCTGCAAATATTCTACTCGAATACAATTTTGAGGCTAAGGTTTGTAACGTAATTGACTGCATTTCTGTATCTGCTAAAATCGCGTTGTCTTATCATTTGATTCTTCTTTTCTCTTTGTTTCCAACTATAATAAGAGATCGGGTTACTGTGACGACATTAATTACGGTAATTAATACTTCAGGTGGCGGATTTTGGGTTGGCTAAGTTGTCACAGGACAACCATACTCATGTATCAACTCGTGTGATGGGGACTTTCGGGTGAGAATCTTTCTAGATTGGTATCCAATTTATTTGGGTTCTTTTCAAACTCTCACTACTTGAATTGTTCGTCTTTCTCTTTAATTGTTTAGCATTCGTTGTCTTCTTTAATTTTGAACCTATTGATTACCTGCAGGTATCTGGCTCCAGAATATGCATCAAGTGGAAAGCTTACCGAAAAATCCGATGTCTTCTCGTTTGGTGTTGTACTGCTTGAGCTCATAACGGGTCGTCCGCCTCTAGATCTTCAATCTAACATGGATGAATCCTTAGTGGATTGGGTTAGCATCTTTTGACTTTGGTTTCTTCCTATATTATTATTATTAGTACAAGTTGCATGCACACCACATGCATTTAGTACGACTCACATGATCATATATAATAGTCTCACTCAAACCCAAACTCAGCTTTCATTACATGATCTACCGTGGATTATCGTTTATTTCTTCCGTTCTTATGTGCTAATAAATCCATGCATCCCCACTAATGCATGCAATAGGCTAGGCCTCGATGCTCGAAAGCATTGGAAGACGGGAACTGCCAGGAATTAGCTGATCCACGTCTCGAAGGCAATTACAATCCTCAAGAGATGAGTCACATGGTAGCTTGTGCTGCTAATGCAATCAGACACTCTTCCAAAAAGCGCCCCAAAATGAGCCAGGTACCTCTGTTTGGTCTGTTTGGACACACTTTCGTAAGCAATATTGGATGGGCATCAGTTATATATAAGCATGTTGAGCTTTCGTATGAATCTTTTGTGTGACGGGTAACAGATTGTTCGGACATTGGAAGGGGATGCATCGTTGGAGCACTTGTGTGATGGAGGAGTGAAGCCAGGGCAAAGCTCATACTTTGGACAAGCATCTTCCGATAACTTAGAGTATGATCAGAGCTCATATAGTGCAGATATGAAGAAATTTAGAAAGGCAGTATTGGAGGACCAAAGCAGTGAATATGATTAGACTAGCGAATATGGGACTTAACCCCTTCTGCTTCAGAGCAATGAAGAGCGATGTCCAAAAAAGCACTAGGTTAGAACAATATTAGCTTTGTTTTCTTTGATTACATTTTTCTTCTTTATTTGAATTTGGATAGGGAGTTTTGATCAACAGAACAGAGTCATCACCAGTTGCATATGGGTTTCAACTTTTTTGGGGGGGAATATCATAAAAATAGCAGAGAAATTGACACATAAATGCACATTTTGGCACGGTTGCTTATGATTAAGGATTCTTAGATTATTAATAATAATAATAACAAGTAGCTTTCGATCAGATTTATATGTTTTTCTCTTATATTTTACACATAGTATACCCCGTTCATAGCAAATGTGTTCAGCTCCATCACGAGCTCCTTAGTGCAAGATCATTGAAACAACATATGCTCGACGACATTGTTGCACAACGCATACAATATCCAACATACCCATTTTTAACTCGTTCAATCTTGTCCTCGATATTTATATATATAGTCATTAGTCAAGAATCACCAGCCATAAGGTATTTAGAAATAGAATAGTATTTACACACCATCACCTAGTTTAATTCCAGGTTCACCATTCCGATTGGATGTTCATAACTTATTGGAAAAGTTATCTTCAATTAGTCCATCAGGCCACCCATCTTAATATTTTGTCGGATGAAGGATACCTTTTGGTCTGTAGTCAAAATGCCAGCGCATTATCACTACAAAAGTGGTGAGTTTTGGAGACGAAAAATGTTGTCTCCTAAACATGGATTTTTCGTCTCCAAATCTTTAGAAGACGGCAAATTTCGTTCCCACGGGTGGTGCCTATAGGTTCCGTCCTCTATTCTTTTGGGAACAAAAAATGAAAGTCGTCCCCAATATTAGGGTCACATAGTCGTCTCCAAAACTACAAAAATTCTAATTAATTTATTTTCTTTTTTCTAGGATTTTAGGACAATATGTCGTCTCCTATGCATTGTTTTTGGAGACCATAAGTGTCTCCTGTGAATTGTGTTATGGACAATAAGTCGTTCCTTATGAAGTATTTTGCAGACAATAAGTCCTCCCTTATGATGGGTTTTCGAGACATTACGCATTGCTAAAAGCTATCTTTAAAGACACATGGTCATCCCTAATGCAGTGCTTTCGAGACAACAAGTCGTTCATAAAGAACTATCTTTCGAAACAACAAGTTGTTCCTTATGTGGTATTTTTCGAGACAGTCAGTAGTCTCTTAACAACTATTTTTTGGGACAACAAGTCATCTCCTACGAATTTTTTTTGTAGACAACAAGTTTATGTAGCTCATGGGATTCAATGTTGGCAATGAGCATTCCAATCTTTGGCCTATTTTTAATTGAAAGACCGAGGTAGCAATTCAATTGTCATTCATTTCTGGAGTAAAAAATTTACCCTTACATAAATAAAGTACAATATGGAAAATGCATCAACCATACACATAATGAAAAAGAAAAACAAATTGGACAAACATAAACGCAAAACTACGACAATGAAAACTAGCTAACAAGAGTGCTAGACCTCCGGTGGCTAATCACCATCGCTTCACTTGCTCTCTCTTTTCCTTATGTCGTGCCTACATCACCGCCATCACCAATTGCTAGTTCGAGAGATAAAAAAAAAGAGTCAGAAGCTTGAAAAAGATATATTTAACATATACCAAACAACAAATTCACCAGCTTGTACAATAGAAACTTACAATATACTAAATTATAATCCAAATAAAACTTAACGAAATATATTTGAATTCGCACCTTGGTAGGTTCAAAGGAAGGGAACGCTAATGACTATTCGATATGAGAAAGAGAAGCTAACTTGGAGCATGAAGGAGAGAAGGAAAAGGACCGACGACGTCTGCAATATGTAAGAAGGGTGAGGCCAACAATATTGAGAAGAGAAAGAAGTTAGAAAGAGGAGGGCATTTGGCCGACTGAAATTTAATGATGGAATAGAAGTAGGGTTTTGCAAGTTATATCAAGGGAATAAATGATTGAGATCTTATGGAAGATTACACAATGAAGATGAGGCCACGGTAAATGACTTGCGGATTGTTAGATAAACAAAAAAGTGAAACTACCTTTTTTTGCAACTGATTAATCTATCTCTACGTCTCTTAATTGATTCATTTCACTTTCTCGCTAAAAAACGGCTAAGATCAGGTGACTAAGGGGAGGTCCCTTAGTCACATGACTAAGTCAATCTCCACCCCTGCACCTCATTAAAATTCAATGGCCCATATTAATCCAATTTAATAAAGGACAATATAGTAATTGCATGATTATTTAATTATTTAATTAATATAATAAACAAAGGAAAATAAATTTGGCCAGCGGTTGCCCCGGCAGGAAAAATTTTCCGGCGACTCCTCTAACCGGCGCGGTGGCGTCTCTGTCCACTTATATTAATGTTGCATTTATTTTGGGCATTGTCCCAGGAGAGAGAGAGAGATTTTGTACTGTTAGTATGCTTTGTATTGTTTGTCGGTTTATTTTGTAATGTGTGTACGCTTTGTTATTTTGTAATGTTTGTCGGTTTTCTTTGTAATGTTTGTACGCTTTGTTATTTTGTAATGTTTGTCGATTTTTTTGTAATGTTTGTAAACTTTGTTATTTTTGTGTATCGTGTTTATCATTTTTGTCAACCATGTTTGTAATGTTTTTTATGTCTAAAAAACACCCGGGTTGACTTTGGGAAGGAGCCCCTCTATATAGGGATGGAGCCTCCAAAGTCAACCCGGGTGTTTTTTCAGTTCGTATGGATTGTCGGTATAGTTTGTCATTTTTGTCCACCATGTTCGTACTGTTTGTATGTCTTAAAAACACCCAGGTTGACTTTGGGAAGGAGCCCCTCTATATAGGGATGGAGCCTCCAAAGTCAACCCGGGTGTTTTTTCAGTTCGTATGGATTGTCGGTATAGTTTGTCATTTTTGTCCACCATGTTCGTACTGTTTGTATGTCTAAAAAACACCCGGTTTGACTTTGGGAAGGAGCCCCTCTATATAGGGATGGAGCCTCCAAAGTCAACCCGGTTTTTTTTTTCTTTTTGTATGGTTTGTATTGTTTGTCGGTCTAGTTTGTATTGTTTGTACAGTTCATACGTTTGTAATGTTTGTAAATCTGTTTGTATGTTTTGTCGCTCTAGTTTGTAGTGTTCGTATGTTTGTATGGTTTGTACTGATTCTAAGTCCGGTTTGTATACTTCGTAATTTTCCATAATACCCAAACTACCCCTGTCATTAATTAAATAGCCCTTCCCACTTTTTAACCATCAGATTGATGTGTCCAGATCTAAGGGCTGGGAGGGGCTTAGTCAAGCGACTAAGCACCCCCCTTAGTCACCGAATCCGCTCTCAGCTAAAAAATACTATAAATTAATGGATTTCATTTTTAAAGGATCTATATTTATTTACTTAATTTTGGGATAATTTTATCTCAAAAAACAATAACAAGAAAATCTGCATAGATGACGCGGATTCTCAACAGTGCCAAACCTTTCTTCATTTAATTTAGCGTTAGAGTCCATTGGGGACACCTTGATAAATCCCAAATCAATTAAATATTTAATTCTCAATTATTGGAGACAATTTTATCAGTTTGTCGCTAAAATCAATTAAAGTGGTATTATCGGAGATGGAATAAAATGATTGTCCCCTATATTTGTCCCCTATGCTTATAAATTTTGTAGTGTATCTTCGATTAGTCCAAGCTCAAATTATTTAGCTCATTTTACTTGATCCAAACGAGTTATTTTAGCTAAAATAAATTACACAAATCATTAATGGCAATGCAAGCTATTGTTTGATTTTGGTGATTGTTTGGTTGGGATAGTTACAATGCATCGTTTTTTTGAATTTTTCGCACAAACAATACATGCATTGTTCGCTTGAAGTGACACAAAATATCACTCAAAATGAGTGATAGTTAAATCTCAAGTTTTGGTTGAGATTGTTGAGATTGTTTGATTGAGATTGTTGTATTTTTGTCTTCCATCTTTTTATATGTGTTGCTTTTTTATACTAAAAACAAAGGGTACAAATGACATTTCACCCATAAAGTAATATAATTTATTTAAACACTACAATAACTATCGCAGAAACCAAACAATATAAACTATAATACACCATTTTTCTTATATAGATGTATATTATTATGCATGTATTGATAACAATACATCGATTTAACTATCACCAAATTCCAATACCAAACCACCCTACATTATGCTCTTGTATATACGAAACAGAAAACAGAGAGAAGAAAAAAAGAAAATACGAGTAAATTACAGGTAATTTCCAGACCAGACTCAGCCAATCAACAATGTATTATATAAACATTATGTATTCTCTCCCTCTTTCTTTCTCTCCCTTTTCCCCTTCTACCCTGTTCCCTTTTCCTGGTTCTTGCGCCATATGCCAAAGAACTCCTGCAGCTGCCATTAATGGAGCTTTCAACCTCAACCTGCAGAATATCTGCAACTCAATTAAGGGATCAACAGAAGATCTTGTAGAGGTGAAGGAAGAGATTTACCATATTGAAGAGGAGCCAGTTAGGCCGCCCGCCAGAACCAATGAGAGGAGAACCAATCCAGAGGTGAAAGCCAGAGCAGTGACTAACCCGCCGCCCAAACCACCTGAGAAGAAGTCAATCAACAGGCAATGGAGTTATTCCACTCAGGGGAGTGGAGATAGAGTGTTTAATGTTTGGCAGGGGGGAAAGGTAAGCATTTACTCTGTTTTCCCAGAGGAAGCTCAACAGACCCTATCGACAAAGAGAATTTACTGCCATATCCCAGATGGGGCAGAGAGAAAGGGTGAACTCGAGTAAATTATTGGACTCCAACATAGCGTACAAGAGCCACACAGGCTTACAAGTAAGGTGCACGGTGAACATAAATGCTCTGACCTCACCTGGTGGCAGCCATCTAGAAGAAAAGCTCAGAGGAGGAGGAAACTTACCAGCAGGGGATATAGCTCGGCGAGTAGCTGTTGCCATAAATGGCATATTCAAGGTTACCTGGCAGGGGAGAAGAGTATAGGATCACAAAGGGGATGCTGTCCATTTCTTATCCACATTTATTACACCAGTAACAGCCCCCCCTCAACTACCCAATCCACCATCTTCCTATAAAAGGCTTGCTTACCCGGAGTCTAACACCTCACCACTACCACTCTCATATCAATCCCATAAGATCTCACCATCACCAAGATTACAACCAGCGAAAACAACTCAGATTCACAGCTCCCCACCTAAAACACACGTCCAAAGCCCTTCAACCCATCAAAACCCAGCTATCATGGAAGTGCAACCCAGGAACATGAGAGGAGAAAGGAGCCATCTGGTGCTGAATGTTCGACCCACAGTGGTTGGAGCACGAGGGAGCGGAATGGCCATGCTGTTAGGCAAATGGATCACGGATGCCAGCATCAATCTGCCCAAAGCCAAGCATGCAGCTGTTAACAAATGGAGGGCATATGGCGAGGTCCAGGAAACGAAAGAAGCTGAGAATCTGTTTGTGTACTCCTTCCAGTCCGAGAAACAACGTGATGCTGTTTGGGAAGCCAGACCTTGGAATTTGAGCAATACGCTCATTGCCCTGAAGAAGTGGGACGGGGAGCAGAAGGCGGAGGCTACCGACATCCAGACGGTTACCCTATGGGTCCAAATGCATGATCTCCCATAGTCACTGAAAGACGAGGAGGCAGTGCAAGCAGTGGCCGCTTTCATATTCCCCCAATTCCATTGCATTGATCAGTCAAATTTTGACTTCAGATGATGGTTAAAGTTCATCATAGTCAAGGTGGAAGTCAGTATCGACGAGCCCATTCCAATAGGCTTCGAATACCCAGTGGGAGATCGCTCGATCTGGGTCAGTTTCAAATACGAGAGGATCATGGACCTCTGCTATTTTTGCGGAAGGTTAGGGCACCTGATTCACAATTGCAAGGAGAGGGAGGAGCACAAGAGAAGAGGACTGTGCACAGACCCATCAGAAGTCTACACTGACGCCCTCAGAGCCGGCCATGACTCACCGGCAAATATCCCGCCGGCTTCCTTCAGGGAGAAACAGGCGGCGGCTCGGCGAATGATCCCCCAGGGCCCTGCCAGCAAACAAATCAGAGGATCCCGAGGCGAATCTTCACAAGTCACTCTCACGGGCCTCCCACTGCAGGGCCCTTTCCCGTACCCACCTGGGTATGCCCTTCTGACGGGAACTGGCAGAGGGACAGACTGGAACTTCAGAGGGGAGGAAGTCAACCCGACAACCACTCTGCAAAGCGCTTTCCTGGAGATGGAAATGGAGGCTACGACAAAGGCGATGCAGAAGAGTCTCGACCTAAGTGGGAAAGTGACCAATACAGATAATTTAGCGGGCCTGTATGAGATGGGCCAGACTCTTACCCTGGCGAGCCCATCCTACAATGCAACTGAAGGATCACTCACACAGATTGTTTCGCAACAGGAAGCCCAAGTGATACCCTAGAATCAAGCCCAAACCCAAGTCCAAAATCAAGAAACCAGAGAGGAGACCCAGGAAGAGGAACAGGCCAGGCCTGAGAAGAAGAGGAAGCCCGAACACAGAGCAGTTCAGATTAACCCCCTTCCACAACAGGAAACCCCATCTAACGTCTCTTTTGAATGTCTGTCTTTTTCACCAGGAGAGAGCAGGAAAATTTACCAAAGGAGGAGGCACATTACCAGAAAGAAGAGTCTGGCCGAGCTGACGGCGGACGGATGCCAGTCCGGAGAAGGCGAGTCTGCCACTCCGAGGGCGGCGGTGGCAAGCCTGAAGCCGCCTTTTCAAGAATGAGAATACTGAGCTGGAATTGTAGGGGGTTCGGCCAGCCCCTTACAAGGAGCTACTGCGGTAGGCTCTGCCTGCAATATGGCCCTTCGGTGCTTTTTCTTATGGAAACCAAGAAGGAGGACTCGTTTATGGAAGTAAAGAGAAGAGCAATGAAGTTTGGAGGAGCGGAGTATGTTAGTCCGAGAAGTGAAGGAAGTGGTTTGGCCTTGTGGTGGAAAGAAGATGTCGATGTTGTTGTCCTTGAATCGTGTAAGTCCTTTTTGGACACTAGAATTAGGCAGAATGGGGTGAACTTTTTCTGCACTTTTGTTCATGCTCCTACCACGGCGGTAGAGAGAAGGGCTCTATGGGATCATCTTTCGACCCTTAGAGCAAATTTTGAGGATAAGTGGATTGTGCTTGGGGATCTCAATGTGGCAGTGTATCCGTTCGAAAAAAAGGGGCGCTACCCACTTAGAAATGAAAATGTTGTACCTTTCAAGTATTTTATTGATCGGAATTCACTCATCGACCTGGGCTTCTCCGGCCAGATTTTTACCTGGAGCAACAAGCAACAGGGGGCTGATCTGATCAGGGAAAGACTCGACCGAGCACTCTGCTCAACATCCTGGAGAACTGAGTTTGAAGCTGCCTCAGTCAATCATGAGGACTTTGTGGAGTCCGATCATTGCCCAATCAGAATTGACCTGCATCCGAAGAAACAGGATCGATGCACCCCATTCAGATTTGATAAGAGATGGAGAGAGAGTGAGGAATGCTGTGATTTGATTATCAAGAGATGGCAAGACGGAGGTACGGTGGATGATGTATTGAATCATTGCAAAAATGATCTGAAAAATTGGGCTCGAAATGACAGAATAGCCAGACAGAAGAGAGAGAAGGAGATCAGACACAGAATTCAGGTTATTCAAGGAAATCACAGGTCTCAAATTACTATTACTGAAGAAAGAAAACTCCATAGGAAACTACAACAGCTATGGAGCTCTGAGGAATCATTCTGGGCACAGCGATCAAGAATTTCTTGGCTGCAGGAAGGAGACCAGAATACTGGTTTTTTTTCATACAAGCACTATCAAAAGAAAGAATTGGAATCGAATTCTCAAACTGAGGGATCATGAAGGAAACTGGGTCTCGAACCCCAGGGAAGTGGAAGATCATGCCATTGGCTTCTACCACGAGTTGTTCACCAGCAGGAATGATCAGATGAACTTGGAACTTCTGACAGGTTTCCCTTGCCTTGTCACGGAAGAGATGAATATCAGTCTGTGTGCCCCTGTGGACAATCTTGAGATCCGGAAGGCAGTTTTTCAGCTTGGGGCCAATAAAGCCCCGGGACCAGATGGGTTCCCTGGCTTGTTTTTCAGGAAGTTCTGGAGCTCTATTGGGGATGTCTTTTGCCAAGAAGTCGCTGGCTTCTTCCAGACAGGACTTATGCCAACTGGCTGGAATGACACGTTTATTACAATTATCCCTAAGGTTGATGCTCCAGAAATGATCAGCCAGTTCAGGCCAATTAGTTGTTGTAACTTCATATATAAAGTAATTACGAAAATTCTGTCCAATAGGCTGCAGCCCTGGCTACCATTGCTTGTAAATGATCTTCAGTCAGCTTTCACAGGAGGAAGGCAGATCCAAGACAATATTGTCATTGTTCACGGGGTTCTCAATCACTTCAAACATCACAAGACTGGGAAGAAAAAGGAAATGATGCTGAAATTAGATATGAAGAAGGCTTATGATCTGGTCGAGTGGGACTTGTTGATCAATCTACTACGAGTCTATGGATTCAGTAATGTCTGGTGTGAGTGGATTCAGTCCTACATCTCTACAGTTAACTTCAGCCTCCTCTTCAATGGGGAACCCTCAGAAAGCTTCAAACCCTCTCGAGGCATTCGTCAAGGGGACCCAATCTCCCCTATGCTGTTCATTCTCATGTCTAATGCACTCTCATTCCTCATTGAGAAAGCAGCGCTGACAAACGACATCAAAGGGATCAAAATCAATCGACACTGCCCCACCCTCACACATTGCTTGTTTGCTGACGACACTGTGATTTTTGGTGAAGCTTCCACTGTTGAGGTAGGGAAGATCCTTGACATCATTAGGGTTTATGGAGCCGTTACTGGACAAGAAGTGAACAAGGATAAATCCTCAATGTTTTTCAGTATCAATGTCCCCATCCCTGAGCAAGCAACAATTATCCAAGCTGCTGGTTTTGCCTCAACCAACTGCCACTCCAATTATCTGGGGATCCCAACTGAATGGGGGAGATCCAAGAGGGAAACGTTCAGGTTCCTGCTGCAAAGAATGGAGAAAAGAGGTGACACATGGAAAAGCTTGCTGTTATCACCTGGGGGAAAAGAGGTTCTCTTGAAAGCGGTTTTCCAGGCCATTCCTGCCTATATAATGTGCCTCTTCCTTCTCCCTAAATCAACAACAAAAAAGATGGACTCTATGCTTAGGAATTTCTTTTGGGGAGGCACGATGAGTAAAAGAAGCATACATTGGAGGGCAGGCGAGGTCCTTTATGCTCCTAAAGAAGAAGGGGGCCTGGGATTCAGACCTTTTCATACGTTCAACCTGGCGTTGCTTGCTAAACAAGCTTGGCGGATCCTTACCAACAAAGATGCTCTCTGGGTCAGAGTGCTAAAGAGCATTTACTTCCCAAACTCTGATTTTTTGAGCTCTAAGAAAGGGGGAAAGGCATCCTGGATTTGGTCCAGCCTGTGCGAGGCAAAGAAGTGGATGAAGATTGCGGTCATTAAGGTCATTGGAAATGGAAAGTCTACCAAGATTTTTCATGATCCTTGGAGGAGAGATCGAGCAGGCCCACTCCTAGACTTTCACTGGCCGGAACAGGCCACTGTTGATTCCTGGATCAATGGTATCTCAAGGGAATGGAAGACTGAGCTTCTGCAGGACTTCCTGAGCCCCCAGGATCTAATTCAAATCATGGCCATACCCATTGGATCGGACAATCTGGAAGACTTCTGGGCATGGCGCTTCACAGATCAAGGTTCCTTCTCCGTGAAGTCAGCTTTCCACCTGTTTCATAACCAGTCCAGACCTCCGCAAGGAACGAATGGAGGGATCTCTGAGGCTAGTAAAAGCAGATGGAAATGGCTGTGGAGCCTGTCCATTCCCCCCAAGCTGAAATTCTTCATTTGGAGGAGCTCGAAGGGTGCACTGGCAACGAAGGACAACCTCCATGCGAGGAAATGTTCTCCATCCAAGACCTGTCCTCTTTGTGATGACCCAGCAGAGATCATACACCACTGCCTGTTCACCTGTCATCATGCAGCAAAAGGATGGAGACAGGAGTGGCCCACTATGCCTCTCCCTGCTCAGGGAACCACCCTTCTGGAATGGTTATCGGCGCTAATGCCGAGCTTCCCTTTGCAAGCCGTCCAGAATATCATCTTCTTCATTTGGCAGGTCTGGAAAGCTAGGAATGAGAAGATCTTCAGGGGCACCCCTCTCTGGCCACCAGGTACGATTGCAAAAGCCTCGTTGGCCTTGCATCAATGGAATACCTGCCCCAGACGGCCTACATCCTCTACCACTCCATCTCAGCCCAACACATCACCAGATCTTTCTTTACCACCGCCGAGTACTCATGATTTTGAGATACACTGCGATGGGTCGTTTTTCAGCGACTCCCAGGAGGCGGCATATGGCGTCATTGTTGTGAACAGCCATGGTCAAGTCTGCGACGGTAAAGCTGAGACCGTGCACTGTTTTTCCCGACTTGAAACTGAAGCCAAAGCCCTGCTGGCTGGGTGTCGTTTCGCAGCTGATCTCCACTCCACCTGTGTTGTTCGATCGGACTGTCTGCCTCTAATCAATGCGGTGCAGGACCACCAGGAGAGTTGGCCTTGGAGAGTTGCGGCATGGATCAGCACTATCAAGCAGCTGTTGTCCAGGTTCCCTCTTGTACGGGTAGCGCATTTTGGCCGTAAGAACAATGTAAAAGCTAACTGGGTTGCCCGATCATGTGCCAAGAATTCTCTTCCCAATAATTGGGTTTAGGTTCTGGATGTGATCTCCCACCTGTTGTAACGCTTGGCCTATTTTCAAGTAATGAAATGTCAGTGTCCCTTTGTCAAAAAACGAGCCCGAAAAGGTTCCAATCATTATTTGAAAAAAAAGCATCGGAAAATATATTATGCGTTAAATTAGGGGGAAGAAAGTCGGAAAGGAAAAAAAAACTTCGACGAAATTTGTCGCGATACGGAGACCGAGAGACGAAGAGGAGGAGCAATTTAGGAGTGTAGATAGAAGTCGTGTTACAGTAGCGAGAGAGCAATCCATCCAGCAATCTGTACTCCTCTCTCAACTTCCCTATACCCTAAACCTCCCTGCCCCGGCTCCCTAAATTTCCTCGTTTCCCTACTCTAAGCAGATTTCTGCGGCGAAAAACTCAGCCTAACGTATATCGATTTGATCGAGATCGCCCGCCAATTCAATCATGCCGTCCCGTCGAAGAACTCTCTTGAAGGTCATCATCCTCGGTGACAGCGGGTCAGTTGCTTGCTTATTTATCTCTCGATGGATTCTTTGATTTCTCTTGGATCGAGTTCCAGATTTTCCAATTTTGATCCGGCGTATTCCGACGCAACAATGGAGCTGTTTGATCTATCGGAATCCGGTTTAGGGTTTTGAATTTGCTAGGTTTCTTGATCTAGTTACTGCAGCTTTCTTTCTCAATTGGTCTCCGTCAGTCAATTCTGGAATTCCCAATTGTGTTGATTGGGGACTACTCTTCAATCTTTATCGTTGTCTAATTTTTTAATGGTTGATTTCCAATTTTTTTACTGGTTGCAGGGTGGGCAAGACTTCATTGATGAATCAGTATCCTGCAGCTTGTTCTGCTTTTCTTGGTTTTTCTTAGCACCTTCGGTTCTAAAAACAGTGGTGGTTCTGTTGTATGGAGAGTTATTTACTTCGTTTTGTTAGGTGGTGTTGTTTCTTTGACGGATTGCTTTTAGATATGTAAACAAGAAGTTTAGCAACCAATACAAGGCGACAATTGGAGCGGATTTTTTGACCAAGGAAGTGCAGTTTGAAGATAGGCTCTTCACTTTACAGGTTGGTTTGGTTGTATTACTTACTAGGAACTACTGTAGAGCTGCGAACCTAGGGTACTAGATCACGAAGTGAAGATTCAAATGCCCTGGAATTTTGAAACTTGTATAAGAAATAATGATGGGTTGCTCTCACTGTGTATACTTTCCCTGCCGTTGAGTGATAGACTGGTTGCTGCTATCATCTAATTGCTCAGCTTGGTTGTGAAGCTTTGAAAATTTTGTGGCAGCAGTGTAGATAAGTGGGTGAATATCAGTACCATACCCAGAAAAGTAATGGGCAGGTGAAAGAGCCTGTATTGTGTAAAGTCAGGGCAAAGAGAAAAGAAAGAAGAGGAAGAAATTATTTACATTTAGCAGTGGTTAACTCTATGTGTCCATCTAGTAGCTTAGTAAGAGCTTAACAGCGCGGCTGTAACTCTCAGAAGCTTATGTGCAGTGGATGAATGTGATTGCATAATTTTACCTTTTTAAGTCAAAAGGAATAGGCTACAAATAGTTTAAAATAAGTCATAGTTGAGATCCATTCAGGTTCCTAAATGTACAGGAATGCTGAAGTGTCATAAATTGCATCCCCTCTTGTTTGACCCTTTCAGCGTTAAAAATGTTGGGTGCTTCACTGAATCTCTCTATTTTCTAACATGCAATGTACACTCTACTTTTGGCAGATCTGGGATACTGCTGGACAGGAAAGATTTCAAAGCCTAGGTGTTGCCTTCTACCGTGGTGCTGATTGCTGTGTCCTTGTCTATGATGTTAATTCGATGAAATCATTTGACAATCTGAATAATTGGAGGGAGGAATTCCTAATCCAGGTAATATTTGAATCCCTAAAACAGTGTATTCTAAAACTTACTTGAGCATGTACGACTTAGATAATAACCTGAAAACCCTCCGCTGCAGGCAAGTCCGTCTGATCCCGAGAACTTCCCATTTGTTGTTCTTGGAAACAAGATTGATGTTGATGGTGGAAACAGCAGAGTAGTAAGCATCTTTGAACTTTGTGCCTCCATTTTCTCGTTCTCCTCGCCTCCCCCTTCTTCACTTCTCTCAGTTCTGTTGTCCTTCCAGTCGTAGATAGGTTTTTCGTCCTGCTTATATAGATTTCATTCTCTTTGCATTCCTGCTTTGTTAATTTCAGGTTTCAGAGAAAAAGGCTCGAGCATGGTGCGCATCAAAAGGAAATATCCCATACTTTGAGACCTCTGCCAAGGAAGGCATTAATGTAGAGGAAGCTTTTCAGGTCATAGCCAAGGATGCCTTGAAGAGTGGGGAAGAGGAGGAAATGTAAGTTGAATTTTGAATAATCGTTCTTTTGAAAGTATTACTGATGGCTTTTCTGTCAAGTTTACTGGTGGATTCATTTATTTGATAGACTAGAACTGGGTTAGTGACGAATTCCAATCTTGAACAAAAATGATCCACCTCCTTACTTTCACAAGATCATGAGTTTTCCTGGTATCAAACAACCCAACAGTTTTAACTGGAGTTTGGGTTTTTGAACAAGTTGCGATTCTAGTTTGCATATATGTTGTGTTTGTCTATACTTGGTGCTGTGAGAAATCATTCTGCTGAGTGTTTTTCCTGTTTCTTTGCTCCTGATGGCTTCTGGGATATTAAGATACTTGCCGGACACGATCGATGTTGGAAGCAGCAGTCAGCCTAGGTCCAGTGGATGTGAATGCTAATTTGCAGAGGCCTGCTTTCATCACTCTGGATGGAATCTATCGTCTCGTCCCAAGTGTTGCCAAGGAAAAGTGTTTCTTCTGGGCGTTCTTCATGGTGTGTATGTGTAAGAGGGATGATACATTTGTACATTATCGTGTTCGCATTTTGGGTTTCTGTTGGTCGTGTACAAGCCTGCTGTCACTTTGTTCGAAAAGGCCATTTCTTTCTAGGCACTCATGGTTACATTTTCCTCAGTATAGTCTGGTTATAGTTGTCAATTGTCATTACTGTGTCTTTTTCCGTCATTAAGATGCTAATAATTCTTCATTTGAAACTCTGTTTGGGATTGCGAAGCTTCATGCTCTTCTCTGCTCTTTTTTCTCAATACTTGTGAAGGTCCCAAGATCTCCTTAGAGGTCAACGTGGTATACGGTTTAAAGGATTCTATAGGAAAGGTTTTGAAGAAGTAGACAAGATATGATAGGGTTGATCAGCTTATATGACTGGTAAAACTAAATTGATATAATCCGTTATAATACGATATGGTTATATTTCTTGCATTCTACCTACACGACAAGGAATCGATAAGCTTGATTGGGTAAATATTTTGATACGAAAGCTTGATTGAGTAAATTGCAAGGGTTATAGGTATAATATGCCCCTCTATTATGACGTTTTATCAAACATGTCCATCTACTATTTTCTACATCAAATATGCCCCTGTACTTTGAAAAAATTATCAAACATGCCCTTCTGTTAAAATTTCCATTGAAAAAATCGTCAATCATGATTGAACCGAGATTTAGACGACCCGACATCGGAAAATGGGAGGGAAAATGTCAGTTTTGTCCCCTGTTTTATTTCCCTTTGTCTTTTCCAAGTGAAATTATTTGAATGATTTGATTATACAAAAGAACCAAAAAATTCTAAAGTGAATTTATTAGGGATATTTTAGTCATTTGAATCGCTCAAACTAAAGTTCGGCCTTGGTTAACGGTTTTTGGATGAAAATTATAACAAAATGACATGTTTGATCATTTTTACAAAGTACATAGGCATGTTAGATGTAAAAAATAGTGTAGGGGCATGTTTGATAAAGCGTCATAGTAGAATTACATATTATACCTATAACCCAATTACAAACGATGATTCAATCCAAGTGAATGGTTTTCTGGTTGTTTAGTGTGGATCCGTGGTGAAGCTAAGGGGTGGAACTGGAATCAATAATTAAGATTGATTGGGTAAAATTAATCGATTGGTGAAACCAAGGGGGTGGAACTGGAATCGATAATTAAGATTGATTGGGTAAATTGAAGACGATGATCCAACCCAAGTGAATGGGCTTTCTGATTGTTTAACATGGATCAATGGTGAAGCTAAGAGGTGAAATTTAATCTCACATGACATGCAACTAAGACATCCAAGACTATAAAATGATGATAACGACATTGTTTTTTTTTTCTATGGTTAATCAAAAATTTCATTAAGTACCGGAGTTGCAAACTGCAAACTCCCTCTCCAAGTACAACCAGTACATAATCAAATCAGTAATTATATGCTAAAGTATGTAAACTGCATCATGAAAACAACATCATCACAACTTCAGAGCTTGGCTGCGAGTATCCATTTCACTTCTTCTTCAATCCTGCCAATTAGCTTACTGAGGGAGCAAATAACAACATCATGGGTTTTGCAACATCGTTCTCTCCACACATAACTAATACACATAGACCATCTTAACCTGCCTTCACATCTTGGCCCTGTACCGCTAGACCATTGTCGCACTGCCCAGCTCAAGTGTTCTGACTAGGTGGTGAAGACTGGGAGTCTACAGAAACGAAACAATACTATAGACAAAACATGTCTACTGTAAGGGCAGTAAGAGAATAAGTGAGCACGAGACTCTTCTCCACCTGGACAAAGAACACATGAGCATTCTCTAGCCAACCTCCAGCTTACAAGCTTGTCTTTTGTAACAATCCGATTCATCACAACAAGCCATAATAATAGACTGTGTTTAGGACGGTTTACCCCAAACAACCTTATGCCAATCAACTAGGGGAAGAAGGTTTCTTATGGTTTGCCAGACAAGCTTAACAGATAGGCAAAATCTTTCCATCCCAAGCAAGTTCATTACCACTGCCAGAAATATGAGATCTTACCCCTGATATGCATTTCAAGATTTTTCGCCAAAACCATGTTCCTACTGACTGATCAGCAATATCCCATATGGATTTAAGCTTCAATCTATACGTCACTTTTGATTACTTTGCAAAGTTTGGATATTGTTTTTAGGATAATGTCTATTTTTTATCCAAATCTTTTTTAGACTCTTTTATATTATCCAAACCTATTAAAATTCTATTAATGAGCCAAATCAATCATAATGCATCAAAATATTAGCCATTTTTATGTTATCGTTTGTTGATGCCCCCTTGATCCGCTCACTCCGCTTCCATGCCAAACTCCTAACTCCCCGAACCCCCCTGCACACAAAGAGGTGGGCCTCGTGGCCCGTTAATCCTCCAACGCTCAAGTCAGCCTTTTTCTTAGAGAGAGAAGTATCTTGTTGACAAAACTCCTTTTTTAGTGAGAGAAGCTAACCTCCATAAATGTTTGCCAACCACCGTATTTATAACTGTTCATTACTCACCTTGGCTGGGCCGTACAAGCTTCCACGTCAGCACCACATTTAATGTCTCATTTCAGGCGAGGCGCCTGTCTCGTCCCTCCACCAGGAGGTACGCTTCAGGCGCCTTTAGTGTATACAGGCATCCACCTTCGCAAGGCCCTTTTAGCGCCTTGACTGACCGTACTTTTCCATGCGCACTTAACTAAACCCTATACTCTAACTAACTGGGCTCCCGCTCCCACGACTTTGGGCTTCCCATGCCCACTAGGGCCTCGTTCCTCTCTGGGCTCCTTTAGAATCCCTTTCTTGCATGTCTCGTTGCCACGTCGGACTCCTTCCGAATGCCCCCCAACAATTGCCCCCCAGTTAGGTGCTCAAGCCCCCCGCCTTGAGCGCCTAACTAAATGCTTCCCTATACGGGTTTCATGTTGGCATCGCCTTTGACGCTTTACTTGGGCCAGGCGCTCTCCTTGTCCTCTATCTGGGGCGCCTGATCCCCTACCCAGTTTTCTTGCCCCGCGTCCATCTTCGGGCCCTATGACAAACCCTTTTGCCGCTATCTCAGGCGCCCCGCTTTTCCCTTTATAACTTAACCTTACCCAATTCTCCTTGAGCCAATGTGCACCTCCTTACCCTAATCGAACAGTCACCCCCCCTTTTCCTAATACGAGGCGCCCCTCGGCCCTTTCCTCCTACTCTTCCGCCCCGTCTTCAAAGGCGCCTCGCGATCCCTGATTCCTTCTTTCTTACGAAGGCGCCTCGCAACCCCTTCGGCCCATTCTCGTTTTTCCGCAGGCGCCTCGCAATCCTTCGTCCCTTCTCGTTTTCCCGACGGCGCCTCGCATTCCCTCGACCCTTTCGTCTTTCAGAAGGCGCCTCGCAATCCCTCGACCCTTTCTTGTTTTTCCAAAGGCGCCTCGCGCTAGACTCACCGCCTTGCCCCCCCCCCTTCCTAACTCAAGGCGCCTCTCGGCTCCTCTATTCTTCCGTCGCGTCTTCAAGGGGCCTTGCCCAACCTACCTCCTTTCTTCAAAGACGCCTCGGTCCACCGCCGATCTCCTTTTCCTCAAGGCGCCTCGCTCTACCCTTGCTGCCCCCTTCACAACCGCCAATTTGAAATTCGAATTGTACGGTTGTGATTGGACCACGTGGTGAATCGGCACAAATGTCGAGGCGCGGCCTCTAATTATTTTCAACTCTCTCACTCTAGCTTCTCTCTCTACCGTGCCTCTCCTTCCTCCTGCCAGCTTGCTTCCGTTTCAGTCCGAGATGTCGAACCCGACCACCAATGCTGCTGCCGCCGCCGCCGGCTCTTCAAAGGGTCCGGGCGCCTCGTCCAAAACAGGTAACTAATTTTTTTTTTTTTGTGTTCCGCTTTTGTTTTCTCCCATGGGCGCCCCTCACCTCGCCAACGATTGTGCGCCTGGTTGAATTGTTATAGCGGGCGCGTCTGTATTGTCACCAATACCGTCCCCATCGTCCAACTACTACGTGTCGGAGGATGGATCGTACAAGATGACTACTTGGGAAAATACATGGCCACCTCAGTATGCGCCTATTGAAACGACGTGTTTGCCTGCCAACGTGGCAGGGCCTGAGCACAACTCCACCATTTCAGCAGCTTGGATGACAAGTTTGATCACGGGCCTAAACCTCCCCCGTACGTGGACGTACGCGCCTCCGTCTCCTATTCCCAGGGTGGGTCTATGCGGGCCCAAATGGCAAGGCATCTACCAAGAGTACTTCCGGTTCGGGCTTCGATTTTCCATAGACCCCGTTTTAGAGGGACTCCTAGACTACTGCGGGTGCACTCTTGGGCGCCTGTCACCATCTGTGATTTTGATAATTATGCTTTTCAAGTTGAAGTGCAGAATTCATAACGTGCGCCCGACTTTCAACCTCTTTCGCCATTTCTTCTCGGTTAACCCCAGAGATAACTGTTTATCGTTGAAGCGCCGGAAGAAGGTGGGCGCCCACTTCGTGATTAAATGTCCCAAACTAGGGAGGTCCTGGTTCACGGGCTTCTTCTTCGTGAAGGCGCATAGGGACTACTTCTTTGAGAGTGGAGGCGCTTTTAGGACGGATTGGGAGCTTGGTAACGAGGAGCGCTTTAACGCTGCCGTTGTGCTTAACCGGGACGAGCGCGCCGGCGCCGCTCTTATAAGCGCTTCTCCCGTTGACTTGCGCCCAACCAGTGCCCGGGCGCCTATTTTAGATGCATATTTTGGAGATGGTGTGTTATATACTTAGAGTTTAATTGTTGATGCTCTTGTAGGCGCCTTGTCTGATGTGATTGCTTGTTTGCAGGTACCGACTTTTCCCGCATCGCCACTTTGATGAGGGGTCGATATGCTAAGATGACGCAAGGGGCGCCTCTCCAAGCCCCTG